GGAGATGAAATGATAAATATCACAATGCAGGGGAGACGAAACGATAAATATCACAATACAGGGGAGACGAAACGATATCACAATACAGGGGAGATGAAATGATAAATATCACAATGCAGGGGAGACGAAATGATAAATATTGCAATACAGGGGAGACGAAACGATATCACAATACAGGGGAGATGAAACGATAAATATCACAATGCAGGGGAGACGAAACGATAAATATTGCAATACAGGGGAGACGAAACGATAAATATTGCAATACAGGGGAGACGAAACGATAAATATCACAATACAGGGGAGACGAAATGATATCACAATCAGGGGAGATGAAATGATAAATATCACAATGCAGGGGAGACGAAATGATAAATATTGCAATACAGGGGAGATGAAACTATAAATATCACAATGCAGGGGAGACGAAACGATAAATATCACAATACAGGGGAGACGAAACGATAAATATCACAATACAGGGGAGACGAAACGATATCACAATACAGGGGAGATGAAACGATAAATATCACAATGCAGGGAGACGAAACGATAAATATCACAATACAGGGGAGACGAAACGATATCACAATACAGGGGAGACGAAACAATATCACAATACAGGGGAGACGAAATGATAAATATTGCAATACAGGGGAGACGAAACGATATCACAATACAGGGGAGATGAAACGATATCACAATACAGGGGAGACAAAACGATAAATCTCACAATACAGGGGAGACGAAATGATATCACAATACAGGGGAGACGAAATGATATCACAATACAGGGGAGACGAAATGATATCACAATACAGGGGAGATGAAATGATAAATATCACAATGCAGGGGAGACGAAATGATAAATATTGCAATACAGGGGAGACGAAACGATATCACAATACAGGGGAGATGAAACGATATCACAATACAGGGGAGACAAAACGATAAATCTCACAATACAGGGGAGACGAAATGATATCACAATACAGGGGAGACGAAATGATATCACAATACAGGGGAGACGAAATGATATCACAATACAGGGGAGACGAAACGATAAATATCACAATACAGGGGAGACAAAACGATAAATATCACAACGCAGGGGAGACGAAACGATATCACAATACAGGGGAGACGAAACGATAAATATCACAATGCAGGGGAGACGAAATGATAAATATCACAATGCAGGGGAGACGAAATGATAAATATTGCAATACAGGGGAGACGAAACGATATCACAATACAGGGGAGATGAAACGATATCACAATACAGGGGAGACAAAACGATAAATCTCACAATACAGGGGAGACGAAATGATATCACAATACAGGGGAGACGAAATGATATCACAATACAGGGGAGACGAAATGATATCACAATACAGGGGAGACGAAACGATAAATATCACAATACAGGGGAGACGAAACGATAAATATCACAACGCAGGGGAGACGAAACGATATCACAATACAGGGGAGACGAAACGATAAATATCACAATGCAGGGGAGACGAAACGATAAATATCACAATGCAGGGGAGACGAAACGATAAATCTCACAATACAGGGGAGACGAAATGATATCACAATACAGGGGAGACGAAATGATAACACAATACAGGGGAGATGAAACGATAAATATTGCAATACAGGGGAGACGAAACGATAAATATCACAATACAGGGGAGACGAAACGATAAATATCACAACGCAGGGGAGACGAAACGATATCACAATACAGGGGAGACGAAACGATATCACAATACAGGGGAGATGAAACGATAAATATCACAATACAGGGGAGACGAAACGATAAATATCACAATACAGGGGAGACGAAACAATATCACAATACAAGTTAAACTGAAAAATACTGTAAATGTTGGCATGTAAATTTTCAATAAAAATCGGTGCGCTGCTTTTAAACATGATTTTCTTGTTTCCCTACTGATTAGACATGTATTCTGCCATCAATGTGTAGCTACCCCATGCAGTCCTTTTTAAAATAAAGTATGGCGGAATAAATGCGGAGAGATATGACTTTGGCCAATGGTAAACCATCGTGCAGGTTAGGAAACGTTCCAGCAGAACGTACTACCAGGTGCGACTGCTGTCTTTGCATGGTCTGTTATCTAATTTGATGTTTCCTGTCATTTCCACGTCTCTCGGTGTCCACATCATTTCTGTTTTTCCTGCCTTTTCTCCCTTTCTTTGTTTTTTTATTCTCATTTCTTTTTCCTGTCTGCTTGATTTTGCATGAGTCCTCCCCACATTGCTTTGGCATCACGCCTTTTTGAATCCTCTAATGCTTACTTTCCATCTCCTAAACCACCAGTTGAATTATTGAACACACTGACCCCTGGCTGCACAGCTGCTGTTTGGGTATGATTGTATTTGACCCCCCCCCAACCCCCTTTTTCTTCTTAAGTTAATCAGTTGTGTTCATTGTGTCACTAAAGGGGAAATGTGCAGTTTCGTTTTGTGTGTGTGTGTGTGTGTGTGTGTGTGTGTGTGTGTGTGTGTGTGTGTGTGTGTGTGTGTGTGTGTGTGTGTGTGTGTGTGCGCTCTGACGTTGGCATCGATTAGGAACAAAGAGACTTAACTTTTGCAGAAATAGCAGTCTATTTTCAGTGCGATCGTGGGCTGGAATGAGTCTTTGAACAGCATGTCATCAGATAAAATGCTGAGCCGCACTTAACGCCTCTTTGAATTTAATTTTAGTAATTTCCTCCATCTGATGGGGCTCATAAATAAAAAGAAAACATGGGGAGCAAGCCTGCAACAAAAACATACATTTAGTTTCTAATTTACAAATATTCGGGACACATATTTCAAGTAAAACTGTGTTTTAATCTCATCATAATTTTTATTATGTAGGTGTGTGTTTGTGTGTGTTGCAATGGTAAAATGTGGTTTTGTGACCTGGTCAATTATAGGCGCCTAAAAGCTAAAATGCCTTGCAGACATAGATTACTGGTTCTGTCAAGTGTTTTATGTGTGAAGATGGGATCAAAATCAGACAAAAAGTGTGCCCTGTGAGTTCTGATCACTCGTGTAATCATGTACTATTACTGTAATGGCCTCTAGTACTTATGAGTCCGAACCTCTGCAGAAGTTAACAGATGTGGGTTTCCCTTGGCCTGACAAGCCATCCTATATAAATATATAGTCAGGCACGACCCATAGACAGTGCTTGGTCGTAGGGCCAGAGTCTATGGTTGTCTTTCAAACCGTCTCGGCACACAGTCGGACAGCGCTAGGACCAATCAGAGGAATGAGTCCAACATTTTCACTGCTACTGAAATCAGTCTTGGGTCAGTCCGCCAAACACCGTTGAAGAAGCCCAATTCAAAATTGGTCAAAGTTGATGCCAAATCCGTTTCTAATGAGACCATGTTTGTTGTTTCAATTGTAGTCTCGGGTCAAAGATACAAAATAGAAAAACAAGATGTTTCACCTTTGCAATAAATATTAAAACCACATTCGGTCCTGTGGCCCATTTTTCCATTTCGTATTTAAAAACAAGTCCTTTCTCTGATTATTTTATTGTACTTTTTGAATAGAAAATGGACACAGACTTGATGTTTGTTGTGAAAACAGCAGATAAAGCATGGGGAGGGCTTTGTGTATTATATATCTCATCTTAATGTTTGTGCTTGCTACTCAGGCTCTTCAACCTGACCCTGAAGAAGCTGATCATGCTGAAGGAACTGGACAAAGATCTCACCTCAGTGGTCATTGCTGTCAAACTGCAGGTATGGAAAGGACCCAGAAACGATCAAATTCCAGCAGAAAGCCATTCTTGGTTCCCTCCTGCCAGGTTCTAGGACTTGTTCACACCTCCTCAGCTGTGTTTTACGGCTGAAACCCTTTCTGTACTCTGAGTTACTCTGTTCTTGTCACTGAAAGAGAGATTAACACCACTAATGCTGGTCAATTCTCTCCACACTTTTAACTCTGGGAGCTTTTTGGCAGCGGATCCAGCCGAGTGAGCCTAAAACAAAACCATTTACTTTCTGTTTATCGGTTTGTCCTTGTTTATCGTCCTGTTTTCCATTTTCTTTACCTCTCAGCCTCACTCACTCCTCTCGCTGAGTGTGATTGATGAGAGTTTATTCCGTTGGCTTGTTGGAGTAAGCTCTCTCTGCTCTGACCTTATTCACGGTGGGTTTCTCCTCTCTGTGTCGTCTCCTCAGGGCTCCAAGAGGATCCTGCGCTCCAATGAGATCCTGCTGTCCTCAGCAGGACTGACGGAGACCGACCTGCAGCTCACCTTCTCCTTGCAGGTACAGACAAAAGTTCGTGGACAGAGCAGAAGTGTAACCTAAACTAAGCTAACAGAGACAGAGGAGGGTTCATGTACTTCCCTGTAGCGTTTCTTCTGCTCTACATCTTCCCTTCTATGATTCTAATGCTGCTAAAAGGTCAGGGAGTCTCTCTCTCGCTCTGTGGATCCCACAGCGAGAGCGGATGTTACACATTATACATTAAACCTGCTTCAAGCACAACACAGCCGTGGGGAGCCTGTTAGAGCCGAGCCGCAGAGGCACGGCAAAGTTCTGTTACCCGGAGCCGGTTTGTTCCAATTAGAGAGGCACCCGGTGAGATTCCTAATGACAGGTTATGTCATAGTTCGGACGTGACTAAGTGGTTGGAACGCTTTGAGGCGCTGCGGAAGATTCAGCCGGTGATGGTGCCCTCACACAACGAGCCATTAGGATCTGTTTCATTATCGAGGAACAGGGATAATTGCTTTATGAGTCTGAACCCACCTAGCAGTTTAGCCACTCACCTGTGTGTGTGTGTGTGTGTGTGTGTGTGTGTGTGTGCATGCGTGCGTGCGTGCGTGCCTACAGTATCCACACTTCCTGAAGAGGGACGCCAACAAGCTTCAGATCATGCTGCAGCGGCGGAAGCGCTACAAGAACCGGACCATACTGGGCTACAAGACCCTGGCCCTGGGGCTCATCAACATGGCTGAGGTATTCCCAGTACTGAGAGGCAACATCTGGGAAGTCCAGAGCCACGGAGGATATTGTTGATTTAATCCCATATCCTCACATAGTTTTCGTTGTACTTTGGGCTGGGTTATGAATGGCCTTACAGCGGTAGTTGCCATGTTTTGCAAAGATAAAGTTTAAGTTGACCTAAAATGATTTAGATGTTTTAATGAGGACAGACCCAGCGTATTCTGTTATTGTAAATTAAGAGTTGGACCGTATCGCTATATTATATATCTGTAAAAATCACACATGCTTATTATATTAATACATATTATATTATGTACTAGTGTGTTATAAGCCACACAGCTTGACGGACACCCCCGTCACCACTGTGGACTCCTTTCGCTTCCTCGGAACCACCATCACACATGACCTTAGGTGGGAGCCATCCATCAGCTCCCTGCTCAAAAAGGCCCAGCAGAGGATGTACTTTCTGCAGCAGTTGAAAAAGGCTAAGCTGCCGACCCAGGTGATGGTGCAGTTTTACACGGCCATCATTGAGTCCATCCTCACTTCCTCCATCGCTGTGTGGTACGCTGGAGCCACAGTGAGGGACAAACATAGACTGCAGCGCATTGTGCGCTCTGCTGAGAAGGTGATTGGCTGCAGCCTTCCATCTCTCCAGGACCTGTACGTCTCCAGAACTCGGGGGCGTGCAGGTCGGATAGCAGCTGACCCTTCGCACCCGGGTCACAGACTTTTTGAGCCGCTTCCCTCAGGCAGGAGGTTACGGCCCATCCGGACCAGAACCTCCCGCCATAAGAACAGCTTCTTTCCATCTGCCGTTAGACTTGTGAACAGCTTATAAACACACAACCATGCTCGTCTTCTGTACTCGACACAACGTCACGTTATCGGCCATGTTACCATTACCTGCCATTTTTTATCGCTGAAAGTTTTATTCTAGTTTTTTAAAATTATATTTTATTCTATTTTTTATCTTATTGTCCATGTTATATGTAGCAGGTTAGTACCGAAGCAAGTTCCTAGTTTGTGAATTGTTTGTTCACTGACAATGGCAATAAACCTTTTCTGTTTCTGATTCTGATTCTGACATACTAGTGTGTTATAAGCCACACTCCTCTGGTGTGTTTTGCTCTCCTTCTAACGTTTTTACAACACCACCACACGTGAGTTTAGCCTTCAGAAAGGGGGTATCATGAATCATTTGGAAAGAAAACAAAAGAGTTCCGAAAAAAGGACATCAGAAATGTGCACTGTACAAGCTAGCATTAGCATCGTAACAGCTAGCTCTAACAGGAAGTTAGAAAAAGGCTAAAATTGATGGTGGAATATGTTTTTAACTTTAATATTAGTGTTGCTGATCACCGTATCGACCTGAATATAGGACGAGGTTTTTTCATTGAAAATAATTTTAAATGGTAAATGGCCTGTATTTGACATAGCGCCTTCTAGAGTCCTGGAACCCCCCAAGGCGCTTTACAACACAATCAGTCATTCACCCATTCACACACACATTCACACACTGCTGGGGATGAGCTACGATGTAGCCACAGCTGCCCTGGGGCGCACTGACAGAGGCGAGGCTGCCGAGCACTGGCGCCGCCGGTCCCTCCGACCACCACCAGCAGGCAAGGTGGGTTAAAAGTCTTGCCCAAGGACACAGAGACAGACTGAGCGGGGCTCGAACCTGCAACCTTCCGATTATGGGGCGAGCACCTAACTCCTGTGCCACCGTCGCCCACAGCGTGGGGTTATCTTATAATCAGGGTCTAAACATTTATACATGCTGAGGTCTGGTCTGGGGTCATTACACGCCCGTAACAGCAGAGGGCGCCAGGCTGTATGTTCTCAACAGGAGAAAAAAATTGAGACGAGAGATCCGGAGCAGAGTGAACTGAAAGTGGTGCTACTAAGGCAGAGTTATGCTAATTTTAAGATGGCGGTGGTCAGTTCAGCAGAGGCATCAAACATTATATGCATGGATGTATTGGATGGCAGTGAGGATGGCGTTCTGGGATGGGAGGAGTCGGCAGGTGTAGTGATCTGATGGTCCACCAGGACTGCAGCAAGGCAGAGGGCGTCTGAATAAAAGCCTCATTTGACTTTTGATTTCACATGTTAGCAAAGTTCTGATAGTTTGCATTAAAATATTATTCTTACTCAGTATTTGTTCTCACATTTTCAATTAAATTAGTTTATTTAAAAAGTGACTTTTTTTTTGTCTTTTCCTGAAGATTAGTCTAGGAAAGGGGGTTTTTCTAATAATTGGGGTTGTCCTATATTCGGGTCAATACGGTAATTTATCATATTCTGTCCATGTTTACCATAGAGAGAGGTCCTGTATTTGTGTTTGTAATTATATTGTTGTTCAAGTTTTTAACTCATCTGCCCACAATGCTACCTGTAGAGCTGTCGGTTCTGTACGTCTGCTCTGTATATTATAAATGCTTTAGATTCATTACATCCACCAAACAGCTAATGGGTTAGTCAATCAGCTGTGAGTTAAAAAGGTTTGGTTGACGTCTTTTACAGCTTTGTGAGCCAACAAACCAGCCTTCATCTGCTCATGCATCATCTTCCTAAATCTGATCTCAGATAAACTTCATTTCACCTAGGGATAGGTACCGAATTCGGTACTTTTTAAGGTACCGTCCGAATTCCATAGTACCGACCGAGCACCGATTCACGTCATTTCAAACGGTGCCTCGTTTCGGTACCCGTCCTTCATAAAGAGAGCTTGCCAAGACAGCTGCGCATGCGCAAGAGCGTTATGTCGTCGGTTGCTGCGAGCGAGTTGTAAACAGAGCAGCACGGTAGAAAGAACGCACGCTAAAGCTTGGGTCCACTTCACTAATTGTGATGGGTAACTGGGTGATGATGAAACCAGCGGCAATGATCTAAGTGAGACATCCTCACCTTAATCTGCTCCGGTAGGTAAATAAAATGTTTAAGATAACGTTAGCGTGATATGTTAGCTTCCGTTTCGCTAATGGTGCGTTCGCTTTCTCCTCGGAAGTCCGATTTTCCGACTAGAAGAACATGAACGCGCTCTAAAGTTTGGCTTCACTTTACTAAATGCGACGGGTGATTGGGTGAAGATGAAACCAGTGACAACGATCTAAGTGTGAGGCATCATCGTTTTAATCTGCTCCAGCAGTTAAATAAACCTGTTTAAGATAACGTTAGCTTGATATGTTAGCTTCCATTGCTACCGTTGTTATCAGCTAATGGTGCGTTCGCTTTCTCCTCGGACATTCTCACTTCCCAGAGGGAAAAATCAAATGAAAAAAAAAACGGCAAAAGGAATGAAGATACGCAGTAAATTTAGTTCACAGTAAAGATGTTTGCTTCAGTTTAATTATCAGCTTATAAAACTACAAGGATGATGTTAAAATACAAACAGTTGAATGTTATTTATCGTGATATTTATCAAATAATGTTATATATTGAGAAAAATATATATTTAATTATAAAAGAGAATTAAAATAATAAACACTCAAAAGTATCGAAAATTGGTACCGTTAAGTACCGGTATCGATTCCTAGGTACCGGGAATTAGTACCGAATCGATTCAAATGTCAAAGGTACCCATCCCTAATTTCACCGCATCTCCATGACTGTACTCCACGTTGATATGAAGGCAGGGCGATGCTCCTCTCGCACACCCCCTTTACCATTCCTACCTCATCACTCAGAGAATTTCAATTACGTCTAGACCTCTCTAGACATATTTAAAGCTGACCTTCATCCGGACTCAATTCAAGCAAGTGCACTGAAATCGGACGCTGGATTTCAATCTTTGACCCAGCCATCTCTTTATGGTCCGCACAAATGCCATCACACATCAAACTTCCAATGAGGTTTCTGCTTCTTCTGCCAGGAGCTCCTCGTGTCGTCCACCTCCTGCTAAATGAAGTGGCTTGTTATCTGTGGAAGCATGTTGACGTTCTCCGTGAACATCTGGAGGCTTTTTCTAAGCTCGGTGTAAGACTATCAGACATATGAAAGCCCCTTGAACCAACTGTCACATCTCAAAATAGGAAGAGGAAGAAATATGAATCCAGACTTAATCAGGTAATGGTCTCCAGGATGTTTACATGAGCTAAAATTGGCTGCTTTTAAGTGCAGATTGAATTCAAGAGTCAAAGAAGCTGAAAGATGGTCCGTGCCACCTTAAATCAGCCCCGTCATTGTTGATGAAAAGCCTTCGCTATTTAAAATAGAAGGTTACTCGACTGCTCAGAGGCTTGCAGCTGTCCCTAAATGCAAAATAAAGTACATTTGTATTCATCAAGCCTTTTCGGATGACAAGTAGGCTGCAAAATGCTCCACAAAGGGCAAAGTTCACAAATTTCCTTCACGTGAAAGGTTAAAACTTTTTTTTTCTCCATACCTGCTGTAAAAATAACTGACAGCTTATTTTATTCAAGCCTATGTGTTTAAAGGAGGGGAACATGCTGCAGGTGCAGACATGGATGAAATCATTACTCACTATGGTCACCGAAGTGACTTGAAACTAATAAAATATCATAATAAATAAAAATGAGCAGAAAATCCACTAATAGAAATCAGACGTTGCATTTGAATTGTGGCTCAACAGAATAATAATGAAAACTAATGAAACGGGTCCGACTAAAAATGATGGGGCCTTGAGAAAGGAGTAGAAATAATTCAAGCATAAAAACGTGGATCTGCTGGACAGATTGTTCAGAGGTCCACTGGACTGTGGACAATTGATGTGAATGGACCATGAAGAGCCCAAAACGTCTTCAAAAGAGTTGAGAGGTAAACTTTTGCTAATCGCTGTTTTAGCCAAAGTGGACTTAATGGAAGACCAGTGAGACCAGTTTTTGTCTAAATGTATGTTGATAAGCTACCAAGCTTCTAGGAAATTGGACAGATGGGACCAAACATTCTAGCTAGTCACGTCAATTCTGCTGTTCACAGATACTTTACTTTTTTGTGAAGAAAAGATAACATTATTAAAATTGCAAGAGACTATCTGAGAAAAAAAAACAGCCAAACAGCAGCCTTATAGCAGAAATCTGATGTTTTTTTCTGAGGACACCATCTAGAGGTGGAAAAATGTATTGCAGCGCAAGCCCCTTTCCCTACTTCTGCGATTACTCCTGGAAGCCACGCCTCTCGTTCATGAACACACACCTCTAGTCGGCCAACAGAGCTAAAACACATTGTTTTACAATTATTATTTTCATGTTGTGCTGTTTGTTCATGTATAAATCTATACCTACCCACTTACCTACCACAATCTTTCTAATTACAAGTCTTACTTGTCCATAGGAACTGTCACCAACTCTGCATCAATCTAGGTACTTCACAAATGTGCGCCCACTCTATGATTGACATGTACGTAAGTGAATGTCTAACACCATTGGCCAATGCTGAGGGGCGATCGTTTCAAAATACATCAGGTTCTATGGGATGAGCGCGGGCTTAGCAACAAAATAAATAAATAAATGAAAATGTGTTGCCTACATTTTATATTAATTGCTTTAGCCAGAGTTCACATTTGAAGGCGACTGCAGAGCTCCACTGTTTAGTGTTTACTAGACAAGAAAGCTTAAAGATAGTTTTACTGTTATTTTCACTTTTCTCATTTAGCCCGCAGCATGATGCCACCGTGTTTGAGAGCCTTTATGATGCGAGACTCGGTCAGTTTCCTATTCACATATCTGTTGTTGGAGATGAATAATTACCATGGCATGGTCATTTTATGTAGCAGCATAAACATGTTTATGACCTTTTAGGATTAGAAATACGTCACATATGATTTGTAACAATCTGGCGTTAATTTAAAACATTATCTTCGGGCTTGTCCAAAGTGGGGCTTGGAGGCCTTTTGCAGCTCTCGAACATACATTCCTTTGGTTGTGTGCAGCAAAGATAAGTGACATTTAAACTATTTTATATCCGTTTTAGTAGAGAATTTGATGCATTGAATCTACCATTGCAGTAGAAAGCAGCTATTGGCAGTCCTTTTTATAGTGAACTTGCTGTAAGTCCACCACTAGATCCAAGTTCTTCATAACCAAATAGCAAATGAAATGGGGACAAGAAAACAAGGCAGCCAAACTGCATCACTAATTAAATATGCACATTGCGCCTTCATGCAGTTTTGTCAGATTTGCATAATCGCCGTTATGACTTGAAAACGGGTTAAATTACAGGGTGTCCGCGGGGTTTTAAAAAGTATTAAAAAGTGATAAATAAAAATAGTCAAATTTAAGGCCATTAAAAGTGTTAAATTTGGTCTCAGAGGTATTATTTTTTCCAAGTTAGGTATTATTTTTTTCCAGACTATCAGATGTCGTATTCTGAACATCGACATAGAAATATATTCCGAATGAAATGTTTTGAACGATTATAAAAATAAAACAAGCCGATTATTTGCTCCTCCCACTTGAGCTGCCCTGAGTTGCAAATGAAGCGCTCCGTTGCCAACTTAGCGACTTTGACGCTATTTCTAGCAGCTTTTCAGACCCCCTTCTTGACTTTTTAAATCTTAAAAGTACCTAGCGAACACCTCAGAAACATCTCTGGTAACCCTTAGCTACTTTCTGGATAACTGTCGTCGACGTTTCCTGCAGGTTAGCTAAACACTCCGCCTGCGCTCCGGACCGTTCTTCAGGACATTAGGAAAGGGAATGATGTAGTGATGTGTCGGTCGCTAAAGAAAAAGCTCTCGGAGCCGGCTCCCTGTTGGGGTAACCAGAGTGAGTGACACACACCGTACCTGCGGACTCCTGAGCAGCTAAAAACGGCTAAATGTGCGCGTGCGGAGTGCTAAACACACGTGCAGCTTGCCCCGATTGCTGTGAGACCGGGTTGGGGGGTGGGGGGTGCAGCTGTGGTTGGGACAATTATTACATTAACTGATGGACTTGTAAATAAATAGTTTATAAATAAGGTAGAAATAAGTTCCTCACGTTGATAAATAATGACTAATCTCTCCGAGGACACGGTGCTAGTGCACGCTCCTACAGCACCTTGACACGACTCAATAAATGTTATGCAACATTTTGTGAACATCAATTTATTTGCATTTATTTGTTATAAATGCCACTGTATAATTCTTGCTGTCAGTATTTGCAAGATATTGGTATTTGGGTCTGTACTGGTTAGACTTAAATGAGTTAAACCAAGGTCTATAGCCCTTGGGTCATAAACTATGAGCTATAAGTATATTGGTCTTTTTATACTGGGAATCAGGAGTTATTTTAGTGATCATCTTGTTTCTTGTTTAATTTTTTCCCTGATTGTGCCCTGAGCAGTTTTATGACTGAATAAAAATAAAAAAATAAAAATCTACATAAATTGAAAAATCATCTTAAATAATCGAGATCTCAATTTCAGTCACAATAATCGTGATTATTGTTTTTGCCATAATCGAGCAGCCCTACTTTAGCATATCCGGTCACATAATGATGACGTCATATTCAGTGGTCGTTGTGCATCATTTCAGGCCTCGTGGTCAACTGAACCGCTGAACAGAAGTGCCTGGCATATTTTCTAAGTAAAATAAATATGTGCAATACGTTGTCAACATCAGTGAGTCTCTAAGTCTATTCTTTTTGTATGTTATATATGTTAAAATATGTGTAAATAGGTCGCTGATTAACACTTGCAATTTAGTGTTGTGATGGTTTTAAAAAAATTCTGAAGGTAGTAAAAAAAAGTAATAAAAAGTAGTAAATTTTACTTAAGGATTGCTGTATATACCCTGAATTAGCAACAGCAGGGAGCCGCTGAGAGCTGCTGGCAGCATCTGAAACATCTGAAGGGCATCAGCTAAACCTCAGATGGATGTATAGCAGAAACGTCTCGTCTTTAATCTGCGGCCATGGCTGTCTGTCATAAGCTGCTCAGACTTCATTTACTCTGCCGGTGTGACCAGACTGCAGAGAAAGGCTGGATGGCTTTCAGTCTCCCTCTCTCTGTCTCACACACACATGCACCAAGCACGCATGCACACACACACACATGCACACACACACACACACACACACACACAAAACATCAAACCAATCGTTGCCAGCAGACTCATTATAAAGTTGATGGTTTTTTCCCCTGCCATTAAGGTGATGCAGCACCCCAGCGAGGGTGCCCAGGTGCTGGGGCTCCACAGCCAGCTGAAGGACGTCTCCGTCCCCGTTGCTGAGATCAGAGTCTACTCTCTGTCCAGTCAGCCCATCGATCACGAGGGACCCAAAGCAAAGATGTCTGGTACGTGCTAAAATCAACATGAATTTGCTTTCTTTTTCAAACTTTCCTTGTTTCTATCTTTTTCTTTAAAGTAATTCTATTTCACCCCCAGATCGTTCTCCAGACATCGACAACTACTCTGAAGAAGAGGAAGAGAGCTACTCATCAGAACAGGAGGGCAGTGACGATCCTATTCATGGGCAGGTGGGTTTACTGTGAAGGTATCTGTTTGGCTTAAAGCAGAAATCCAGTCTTTTTTCTCACAGGGCGCCATCTAGATGTGGAAAATATATTGCACCTACAGCCCATCTCCCTACTTCTGTGATCACGGCCCAAATCAATGCTACTGAGTGGTTTATAAACTAGTAAAAGCACTTTAAAATGGGATTCTGTAATTTACTGGTAACTAGGGATGGGTACCTTTGACATTTGAATCGATCCGGTACTAATTCCCGGTACCTAGGAATCGATACCGGTACTTAACGGTACCAATTTTCGATACTTTTGAGTGTTTATTATTTTAATTTTCTTTTATAATTAAATATATATTTTTTCTCAATATATAACAATATTTGATAAATATCACGATAAATAACATACAACTGTTTGTATTTTAACATTGCCCTTGTAGTTTTATAAGCTGATAATTAAACTGAAGCAAACATCTTTACTGTGAACTAAATTTACTGTGTATCTTCATTCCTTTTGCCGTCCTTTTTCATTTGAGTTTTCCTACTGGGAAGTTAGAATTTCCGAGGAGAAAGCGAACGCACCATTAGCTGATAACAATGGTAGCAATGGAAGCTAACATATCAAGCTAACAATATCTTAAACAGTTTATTTAGCTGCTGGAGCAGATTAAAACGATGCCTCACACTTAGATCGTCACTGGTTTCGTCTTCACCCGTCACATTTAGTAAAGTGAAGCCAAAGTTACAGCGCGTTCATGTTGTTCTAGTCAGAAATTCGGAGTTCCGAGGAGAAAGCGAACGCACCATTAGCGAAACGGAAGCTAACATATCAAGCTAATTATATTTACCTACCGGAGCAGATTAAGATGAGGATGTCTCACTTAGATAGTTGTCGCTGGTTTCATCATCCAGTTACCCATCACATTTAGTGAAGTGTGGACCCAAGCTTTAGGCTGCGTTCTCTCTACCATGCTGCTCTGTTTACAACTCGCTCGCAGCAAGCGACGACAAAACGCTCTTGCGCATGCGCAGCTGTCTTGGCAAGTTCTCGTCATGATGGACGGGTACCGAAACGAGGCACCGTTTGAAATGACGTGAATCGGTGCTCGGTCGATACTATGGAATTCGGTCGGTACCTTAAAAAGTACCGAATTCGGTACCCATCCCTAAACCAGTGTAGATATTTAAGAACAGGAGTGGTGTGCTCAGTTCTCTTGGTTTTTGTTAAAACTCTAGCAGCAGCATTCTGAATAAGCTGCAGTTGATCACAGCTTTTATGGGAAGACCAGACAAAAGACCATTGCAGTAGTCCAGCCTGCTGTTGATGAATGCATGAATGAGTTCCTCTAGGTCTTGTCTGGACATGAGACCTCTGAGACATGCTATTTGGTGCAGATGATAAAACGTTGATCTAGTTGTAGCCTTAATGTGACCAGTGAAGCTCAGGTCTGAATCAATAATAACACCAAGATTTCTAACTTGGGTCTTTGTTTTATCCCTCTGGAGCCATGTTGAGCAATAACCTCCAACCTATACACGTTTCCGAAAACAATAACTTCAGTCTTGTCTTTGTTTAAGAGCAGAGGTCCAAGAATTGAGCCTTGGGGGACCCCACATGTCATGGTGATCAGCTTTGATTTGTGATCACCATTAGAAAAAACATAACCCCTGTCTTCAAGATAAGATTGGAACCAACTATGGACTTTACCTGAAAGTCCCGCCCAGCTTATGAACCTATCAAGAAGGATGTTGAGGTCCACAGTATCAAAAGCTGCAGTGAGATTGAGCATCATCAAGACGGATGTTTTACCTGAATCTGTATTCAGACGAATATCATTTAATACTTTAATAAGTGCGGTCTCAGTGCTGTGGTGCTGTCTAAAGCCCGACTGGAAACTAACTAGCAGGTTGTTTGTCTCTAAAAAGTTGTTGAAGGGGAGATTAGAGATTGGTCTGTAGTTATTCATCACTTCTGTAGAAGTAACCGCAGTCATTTTCAGTGATTTAGGAAAAATACCTGACAATGAGGAACAACTAACAATTTTCAGTACAGCAGCTTTGAAGCTGCTAAAACATTTTTTGAAGAAGTTAGTTGGCAGGGTGTCCAGACAGCAGGTGGATGTTCTCCAGCGTTTTAGCACTAATCACACTGACAGCTGGCCTTCTAGCCAGATCGTTGCTATGTGGCTGTAGCTGTGGTCTGGTTGTGTTTGTTAATGAGGAGGAATGAATGGTTGATCTGATGTTTATGATTTTCTCATTGAAAAAAGACGCAAACCCATTAGACTTAGTTTGGGAAATGAAATCAGGGTTTAACTGTGTTGGAGACCAGTTAACCTCTCAGTTTTAGTATTATCACTAATGACTTTGTAGAAAAAGGCTTGTCTCGCTTTACCTAACTCAGAGTTGTAGGTGCGCAGCTGCATTGTGAAGCTTTAATAGTGATCTGGTAGGTTACTTTTTCTCCGTGTTGGCTCAGCTTTCCTGCATATTCTTTTATGGTTAGTAACTGATTTAGTGAACCTCCATGGAGCTTTTCGTTGGCCAGAGATAAGTCTGACCTTTTTGGGTGCAAAGGACTTCAAGAGTTTTGCAGCTAAAGTCATTTAAGTGAATCAGCACAGCTGGCTCTAATTTCCCTCTGGGATTAATAAAGTATCTTTGATTTGATTGATTTGGTTGTCAGACTTGTTGATGTATTCATACGTACTGTAAAAACTGATGCAGTGTGATCACTTAGATACTTTAGAACAACAGAGGTGTGATGTGTAGCAGGTGAAACAGATATCTCAGAGAAAACGCAGCTAGACCCACATCCCTAACATGTGATACATCCACATCTTTGGTTATGATTAAGTCGAGCGTGTGCCCTTGAGTCCGCGCACATTTTGCTGCACATCAAATAATTCAAGCACTCCAAGGAATTGTTCTACAGATTTGTCATTAGCATCATCAACAGGAATATGTAAGTCTCCAGATATGAGAAGATGTACAAAGTCTGTTGTGAGAACAGAAAGAAGCTCGGTGAAGATTTTTTGGAATGTTTTGTTCTTTGCTCAAGCTTTTTCTTGCTTCTTATTTTGGAAATATCTACCAGAATTGTACAGATCATAAGTTATTCATCTTTAGAGCATGAAAAAAATGGCTGACTGCCAGCAGCACAATAGATTAAAAAGAGCAAACAGAAAACGGAGAGAGGGATGAGCTGGAAGCATGACGCCTTTTGGGCACGAATTAAAGAAGGGACGGAGAACAGCAGCTGAAGGGAGGACGGTGGAGCGGTGATCCAGTGAATAAACACAACTGAAGAGGAGATGAGAGGAAAATAGAAACTGACCTACGTCGAATTTGATGGATGAGACAGGATTTTATTTTTATACTTCTTGACTGGACTTTTTTGGTCATAAAAAGTATCCTGTCCTGATGAGAGGCAGAGATCAAACCTGGGAAAATGTGAGATTGGACAAAAAGTGGTAGAATGTTGGATGATGCAAAGAACAAACAGTTTAGCCTTGACTTTACGCTGTTTGGTGAAATCTGGGCTGTTAGTGAACACTGAATCAGAGGTGGTAGACCGAGTCTCTCAGCAATTATAATAAAAACGAATCCAACTTTGAGTTCCTATTGTTGGACATGTAGTCTAAATATGGTAAATCTGAGCTAATGGTTGATTAAAGCACCCAAATGTCCAATTTATTTATGTATTTCATAGAAAGTCTAGAAATGTATTATTATCCTAATGATATTATTAACGGTTGTAATAAATCACAGAAACAATGATGTAATTGATCTAGGACCAGGGGAGGTTCTAGACTTGTGTTGGAGGGGGGCCAGGATGGGGCCAGCTGCTCAGTTAGAGAGGCACATTTGTAAGAAAACACAAGAAACATGACTTTAAGTGTTTCAGATTTTAGTGAATGATCACAACATTGTAATAACAGCAATTCCAATCACATTTCATTTATGTAACACGTTTTAAAACTGAGTGACAGCTGACAAAAAGCTGAGCAAGGAGAGTAAAACTAGAGATGTCCCGATACTTTCCGATGACCGATATCAATCTGATACGATATCAGCACAAATCATACATACTGTTACCTATTTCGAAGTGTGGAATGTTTTAAAGGCTTGATCAAGTGATATTACTCAATCGGAGAACAAGAGCCAATAATAGTAAGTATGAAAAAAGACAGTTTTTTCTTAATCCAATGGTTGCAAAAATGTGAACCTTAAGGGGCCGCTGATATCGGAGATTTTTGATGCTGTCCGATATAATCTGATACACTGTTTTTGGGCCGACATCAAATTACTTCCGATATCGATATTGGAACGGGACATCCCTAAGTAAAACACAACAATACAGACAAAAGTAGAGAAAACAGGCAAGGTCAAAGTCACACAATGAGAAAATAAAATCAATAATCAAAAACAAGATTAAAAAGTGGGCTTAAAATGTGGGAGCGAAGGGGCTTGCCTCACGTGAAGAGGGAGATCGTTACTCATTTTCAGGGTTGCTTGTGAAAAGGGCCGCTCCACCTGAGATTTGTAGTGCACTTTGGGAACATTCAGAAGCAAGCAGTCTGCTGACTTCAGGGAACGGGGTGGAACGCAGGGAGAAATAATATCTGTTAGATAGGAAGGGGGCTGGGTGTGGAGGATCACAGGGAGCAAATTCCATTTCTATTTCACTTCTTATTTGTGCTTAGGCTCCGCCCTCAGCAGGGGTGGGGTGGGGGGGGGGGTCATGTCATGGTGGCACTGACCCACCCTGCAATCCCTCTAGAACCGCCCCTGTTAAGAACAGCAGTTTCCTTTTCTTATTTGTGGGGACTCTTGAAATACAAAATGACACTTATTTGAATTTATGAAGAATATTCCCATAACATGTAACTTAAATGTAAACTTTTAGTCTTTTTCTTGGATTTTTGTTTCTATAGGAATACCCTTTAAAATACGTTTTTAGTAAATGATCTCCTCTTATTTTCCTTCATTCTTTCTCCTTATTCTTGTCCTGTCTGTTTCTCCTAGTATCTGTATGACGAAGACGAGGAGGTGAGGAAGAAGAAGCCGAGGCGTAAGCTCCCTCCCAACGCCTCCATCGTCAGAGTAAGAATGTCGAACGGCCTCACTCGTCTCACCGAGCCCCTGCTTCTCGTTTCCCTCCTCGTCTCTTGCTTGTTTTGTCTCTAAAGCAATTTGTGGCTAACCCCATTTGGGCCGTAGCTCTTTGAAACAAATTGGATTTGACTGGATTCCACGATTCCTCCGTTCTGTCTGCCTTCTCACCCGATCTCGGATCTGCTCCCTCCTCTTTATGGTTTATTTATAAGTTCTCTCTACATGTTATTATGACCAATTTTCTGCAAAGAGAGGAATGATAAACATCTGGAATAATAGCGCCTGAGGTTGTTGTTTAGCTAGAATTTAATATGATGTTGATGCAAATTAACACTAAAAAGTTAGAGAAACTCTGGAAACATTCCTGCTATGTGAGCTGTGGAAAAGGGTTTCGGGTGTGTGTGTGCGTGTGCGTGTGTAAGAAGGAGAGGAGAAAGTGAGCGTGTGTGTGAGTACGTGTCAGCAGGGGATTATTAATGGAGCCCTCCTGTGGAGCTCACACACGATAACCACCTGCACTGGTGCAGGTGGAAAACGCACACGTGTTGCATAAGAGAACACACTCTGCTTTCATTACAACAAACCCTCTGTTCTCTGAAGTGCACACTCACACACACTTACACACTCTGGTCGGCCCTCAGTTCACTACAAAGATGATACAAGTGTTTTTAAGCTGGACATTTGTGGATCCTTTAAAAACCTTAAATTCGATTTTCCATAATTCAGGCCAAAAAAATCCTTAGAAATCACAAGTAATCCTTAAATCAAGAGTCTAAAGGTCTTAAAAATGCCACAGACGCAATAAACAAGAATGCTTTTTTTATTTGAAACTCACTAAAGTATTTTGTGAAATGATATTTTTGCTTTTTTTCATTTGAGACTGGTATGAAAGAACCTTCATTCATTCAGGTGTGTGTGGGAGGTGGCTATTTTCAGGTAGTGGGGGCGTGAGCCACGGAGAAGTGCAGGTTTAGTGGTACTGCATTGTTTGTAGAAAAGACATGTACTTTCATTCTCTGTAGATCAATTGTCTTGATGTTTGTGTTATTTTTCAGCACTTTCAGTTTTAATGAAGGTCTGGACTGAACTTTTTGTAAGGTAGTCATGCCCCTTTCTTGTTTCTATAATGTAAGGTCCTCAATTTGAAAATGGCCTTAAAATGTCTTATAATATTGCTTTCTTAATGCAGTTTTTTGTCAGTCAACCACACTGCAGAGTTGTGAGAACGGGTCCAGACCCTTAAGCAGCATTTTACTGGGCTGCAGCTGGTGCACAGAAATAAAAAATATGTAAAAAGGACAAAATTTCTCTCTAAATAAAAGTAATAGAATTAGCAAAGTAATCCTTAAAGCTGCTTTCCAGAGTTTTCCCCTTTCAGAAATGATGTATGAGTTTTCAGAAATCCGTAAAAGTGATTATCTTATCATGTACTGTGATAAAATGTAAGCAATACGTCATTTTTTTTCTTGCTAAGCACGCCCCCTGCCCCGCAGAGCTCCATTCAATAGTAAACTGAAGGCCGACCAGAACTAACCAATAGCGTTAGACTACTGCTTATTTGCTTCAAATTTAAGGAACACTCGGTTGATGCAGAGTTGATTAACTTTTCATGGACAAGTAAGTCTCTAAAATATAAATATATGAAAACACAACATGACATGAGAATAATACTTGTAAAACAGCGTGTTTTAGCTCTGTTTATCCGCTAAGAAGCACATTTATAAACAGAAACGTGACGTCGCGATCTTAAACAGAGGAATAGACTTTTTTGTGTGATATGCTTGTCAGCCACTAGATGGTGCCATCAGATTAGAGAAATACTCCGGAAAGAAGCTTTAAGTACAACTTTTCTTTATCTGTACTTGAGTCTTTTTTATTAAGGCCTACTTTATACCTTTACTCCGCTACATTTTCTAAAACATTTGAAAAGTAAAAGTACATTAATTTGCATTTTGTTCTACTCCCACCCACCCCTGGTCCAATGTAGACCAACAGCACACTCCCTTGTCCACACCACATTGCAGTTCCAAAGGTGATAGTACTGTCATTTGAAATCCAACATACACGTGGTAGTTATTTATTATTCTTAAGTACAGTAGAAATTGCATACTTTAATACTTTTACTTATGTTGGGGTAATTAGGAGCGAGTAATTAGTAATTAATTAATTACTTTTGTATTCTTCAATAAATTCTGTAAATATGGGAATATTTACCGATGTATTAATGAATTAAGATACTCTTTAGGTATCCCGGAGCACCATCCCTTTAATTAGAAATGGAAATGAATCCAAAACTCTTATCAGTCTATCAAAAAGATGTGAATCCTAGGAGCAGAAATTTCAACCAACACAAACAAAGTCTCTTGAGGCAAAATCTGAATTTTATAACATTTAATTAAACAAGGAGATTAATAATGCAAAACAATTTGATATAATTGGAGATGTGTGTGTGTGTGTAATGGAGGATGTCCCCACAAACACTAAAAACACGTAGGAGTGTGTGTGTGTGTGTGTGTGAATGATTGCTTCGTCCTCCCAGAGCACTAAAAACATGTACGTGTGTGTGTGTGTGTGAGATGGAGGATGTATGAATGGGGCTTTGTTTTCCCAGGTGTGTGGGGAGTGTGTGTGTCTGATAAGGCTGGAGGATGTGTGTGTGTGATTTTTCTTCTCTTTCAGATGCAGGCAAAGGAATTAGACTTAGTGACTTAAAATCATCACAGTAAAACTTAACTTTAACGCTTCAAAAGTTGACAAAACACTTCAGAAAGATTGATAAACAACAAAGGTCACTCGTAAATTAACATCTGACAGTTTAAACAGCCTGGCCACAGCTGGAAACTATTTAAAGATATTAACGATGACAAATAAACAGTTTACTCTCTACTAAATAACCCTGTGAGCAGATTTTGATACGGAAGAAGAGAAAAACCGTCTGATAATTTGAAGCAAGTCATGCGGTCGACTGCTTATCTTGGTCTAGAAGAGACGAGAAAAGGTAAAAGTTTAAATGAAATAAAACTTGCAGGAGCAAAAACCTCTCTGAGCGAAGGCAAGGCGTCCCTTGTGAAGTTCGCTGGTCAGATGTGATTTACGCTTCTCCTCCCACGAGTGTCTCTCCACGGGCTGGACACAGAAAGAGCAAAGTTTCTTTTGTGCTGAGTTTGATAACTTACAACGTCTCCGTGAGCTTGATGGTTTTGGAGTTGCTTTTCCAGCGGCTCAGTGTTCGCACTCTTCAGCCTCCAGGCCTCGTGCGTGCTTGAGTTGAATGGAGCTGTAGCAAGCAGTGTGTTCTTTACACCAGTGCAAGTGGTACACAAGAACAGTGAAGTTTCGTTTTTCGTTGAAACTTATAGTTTTTGAGCTGGTTGTTGTGGTGACGTCATCACCTTGCTTCCCTATGCAAAGCATCATGGGAAATGAAGTGTCTCTGGTGCTGATGTTATTATCTGCTTTTTCAGAGCAATTTAAGCACAGTCTTTTTGGAGAAAATCACTGCATAGTAATTTCCTCATGAGGGCAGACCCTCAACACTTAAGTCAAAGTTTCTTGGATACTTCCACTTGTGCAGAAGTTTTTTTTTCTGCCTTAATCTGTATGTTTACTTAAGTAAAAAAAATAATCAAGTACATCTTACCCCACTGCTAAATCTGATTCCATTTAGCATTTGTGAGTCAAAAAGTGTGAGAAATACTAAGTTTTGATTGATCTGAGAAAAAAATTACATTAAGAATTCGGAGACCAACAAAGTTACAAATGAAACGAGGATAAGGTGCTAACAAATTTGGAAAACAAATTAGCTTAAAACATTTTTTCATGCCTCGTATCAACGTTATTGCATAGTATAGTTATAGATATGTTGTGGAGATTCAAAAAATATAATAAAGTTGTTCTCTCTTACATTTGTCTATAAACCTCCACCAAGAACAGGTTTCGGACCAAAAGCAACCATTGGACCATCTGGTTGTTGGTCTTGCTGAACCGCCACACTTCCACACTTCCCTGGGTCCTCGACTCACCACACACTCACTTATTTAGCAACAGAACACCACTGGTGTGAGAGGTTCTTCTTTCATTAATATCAGAGAAGGAGAAACAGCCGACTAATACCACTTCAACTTTAGGACAAACTACCAGAGTCTCAAAAAGAAAAACACCATCTGAAGTCACAGATAACAAAAGATGTTTAGACCCAGAAAACAGCCACTGGTGTTTTGCGCTCTCTTGTTTACTCCGGCATCGGGGTTTCCGGTTCCAGCAGAAGTGTCTCGGGGAAGATACTCGAGGATAGGTCTGAGTGTTCCATTACCGTGTTTGTCTTCAAAACCTAGCCTGTTTTGTAGCTTCACTATAACGGCTTTAGGATTCTTTGTGACTTTGTTGCAACAAGAAAATTTGCATGAATGTTGTGCAGATTTTGCATATTTGGTATATGCTAGGTTCCGATTCAGTGAAGAGTTCAACAATAAAATTGATTTTCCAGGATTCTTACATCATTTTATAGTTTGATTTACTGTTAAAACTTTACTGAACCTATGTTGCTTTGTAGTCCCTCCTCCTAAAGCACAGTTATTGTTACCATGGACACCTGTAGCTGTCATTCACCTAAAAGCTCTACTAACCTACATAACAGCAAAAGAGCAAACAGGAACAACTCAAAGACTCATTAATCAGCTAAGAGGCTACATATTAAGCCTTATGAGACCAAAACTTGGCTTTATAACATCAACTTAATTTGTTTTCATGAAAATGTTTTGTCATTTAAATAAATTTGGACCATCATAAATAACCCCCCTCAGAGAGACAGAATGCAAAAGATCTGAAGAATAATCCTTTTTGGAAATCAACAAGATGCTGAGTCACTCTTACTAAACATTACACATCTGTTTTTGGAAGTGGCTTTGCGTGTTACTTTGCAGTAATACTGACTGACATCCGAGATTAAAACTGTCTACTTGATAAGCTAGATTTGCGCATTTTCTGCTTTAATGAACTAAGACACGTAAATGACTTCATAAATCCCGTTCCTCCTCCTGATGCTGTCTCCAGTAACCGCTGCTGTTTTGACTCATCAAGCATGAAAAGGGAGCGTAAAGATTGCAGATATATCTTCCTGCTGTCCGCTCCCTGTTGTCTGAACATCGACTATAAATCCTCAGTGTGTCCTTTTCTTCTTCCCCTGCAGCAACCCAACATCAAACAGAAGTTTGTTGCTTTGCTGAAAAGATTTAAAGTCACTGACGAGGTATGTTTTCATTCATTTATACCTTTTGGCCCGTATTTTGGTTTCCTTAGTCCACCTTTGTTTTGTTTTTGCAAAGCTCCAGTTTGATTAAAAGGTTATTTGGAGTCTGGTGAGTGGCAGAGAGTATACATTAAAAAATACATACCATAAATATGCTTGATATGAGTTACTGAGCCTTTCCACCGGACTCATAAGCATCATGTAACGTCTGTGTAATGTCTGTGTAACATCTGTGTAACGTACGTGTAATTTCTATTTAACGTTCGTGTAACATCCGTGTAATACCTGCGTAACGTCTGTGTAACGCCTGTGTAACATCCGTGTAATGCCTGTGTAACGCCCATGAAACGTCCATGTAATGCCTGTGTAACGTTCGTGAAACATCCATGTAATGCCTGTGTAACCTCTGTGGAACTCCTGTGTAACGCCCTTGTCCGTGGAACTCCTGTGTAACGCCTGCGTAACATTCGTGAAACGTCCGTGTAACGCCTGTGTAACATCCGTGTAATGCCTGTGTAATGCCCATGAAACGTCCATTCGATGCCTGTGTAACGTTCGTGAAACGTCCATGCAATGCCTGTGTAACGTTCGTGAAACGTCCATGTAATGCCTGTGTAACCTCCGTGTAACTCCTGTGTAACGTCCTTGTAATGCCTGTGTAACATCCGTGGAACTCCTGTATAACCCCTGTGTAACATCTGTGTAATGTCCGTGGAATGCCTGTGTTACGTCCGTGTAACGTCCGTGTAACTTGTTGGAAGCGAACTCCCGGGTTTGCTGCCTACTCATCCAGTGGAAATTCTGGGTTAGGTGCCACTTTTCAAAGGTCAAACAGACAATAAGAGGGAATGATATCTTGTTTGTAGTCGGAAAGTCTGAAGAAAATTCTGCACTCCCGTTTTTACGATAGACAGGTGACTTAAATAATATGTAATTTATTCCACTGTTCTACATCCATGACACCCAGTGGAGCCTTTCAGGTTCATTTGATGTTAACAGGAGGAGCTGTAGCGTTTCATATTTGGGATTGACACATTACGCTAATGGGAGGTTATTACTGCTCACTCAAAGTGTGTTGACACGTTTTTACTGCGTTTCTGTTTGTGAACATAAAGGACAGAGTGAGTAAAATACACTAAACACGGAAACTCAACGTGTCTTCTTTTATTTATTTTATGCCTGTCTCCTGTCTGTGGTGCAGGTTGGCTTCGGCCTGGAGCACGTGTCCAGGGAGCAGATTCAGGAGGTGGAGGAGGACCTGGATGAGCTGTACGACAGCCTGGAGATGTATAACCCCAGTGACAGTGGGCCGGAGATGGAGGAGACCGACAGCATCCTCAGCACACCCAAACCCAAACTGAGGTAACACACACACACACACACACACACAAACACACACACACACAACACACAACACACACACACACACACACAACACACACATCTGAGATCCTCTTTAGAGCAATCAAGTACGCTTCAGTCTAAACCACACAGGAGCTCCTGGAACTAATCAGAGCTCCATCTAGTGGTCAAAACATTTCTCTGCTGCCTACTTTACAATCATTTATTATTTGTTTTTAATCCTAAAACTAAAAGTGACACAAACTGTTTTTTTTCCAACTTCAGAGTTTATGTTTATCTCATTAAAAGAGATTAAATCTGTATTTTTCTTATGAGATGAATATAAACAGTCCAAGGTTAAAATAAAATAAGAAATAAGTGATTCTGCAATCTTGTTACTTGTATGTGATCTTGGTTTTATTATTCTCACTTTGACTTTTGCCTCCTAAAATACACTAGAGCCTTATTTCTAGCTTTTCTGCATCTAATACATGCTATACCCAATCCAAATACTCTTTATTTATAAAGCACCTTAAAAAGTCAGAGGATAAAAGTGCTTTACATTAATTTATGCTACAAACAGTATGGATGTTTGAAAGAATTCTCACAATTTAAAAAAGATATCAGGGAAGAAAACACATAAGGCAGCCTACAACATGGGTAAAAGCAGCACAACAGAATAAAATACACTCAAAAACACAAAACTTATAAAAAATAGAAACTGAGTAAAAAAACACTATAATGAGTTAAAGTGCTAAAAATAAACTGCTAAAATCTACATCTAATTTGATATTAAAATCCAAGGTGAAAAGAGGTGATTTAAGTAAATTAGTTTTAATTTGTGTGTAGGGTTTGGTAAATCGAGTGCTTTAAGAGCTCAATATATATTACCTCTACTTATGACCAATAAGCTGTGATACTCTATTTAAATATAGAATGTCAACCCTGCTTGGTCTTTACGGTGTTTAATCAGAAGATTCTAGGATTCTTGCTTTATCAGGGGATTGTACACACTTCGTTTTGATTCAGAAAAGAGTCAGGTTTATAAAAGTAAGAATTTATTTTACCAACAATTAAAACATGACAAGTTAACTAACATTTACTGTGATGCAGAGGTGGAAAGTAACGAATTACATTTACTCACGCTACTGTAATTGAGTAGCTTTTTTGTAAATTTATACTTTTTAAGTCGTTTTTAAAATCTGTACTTTTACTTTTACTTGAGTAAGTTTTTTTAAAAAGAATTGTAATTCGCTACATTTTAAATCATATCCGTTACTGAGTAAAAATAAATTGTAGGCTTAATAAATTAAAAATAGTACGTATAGCAGCGTCGGAACAGAAAGAGAGACCTGCATGAGCGCCACGTCTAAACCGGGGAGGGGGGCTACACGCTTTATGATGAGGACAAACAGCCATTTTTACCGCAGTTTTGCTCAAAAACATCAGTTCAGTCCCTGTGATCCACTCGCTGTTTACCTCCTCTCTCCCTCCTCTCCTATGGGTTGGAACCCGCACCTTCGCGCACCGGTGTGACGTCATCAGAATTCTGCTCGGTTCGGCAACCAGACTCGGTTCCGTGTGTGAAATGTGTTTCCCTACCGCGCACGGAAGCGGCAAAATTACGTTTAGCGCTCCTAAGAAGTCGATTATCAGCTCTCTGCTCATAAAACAAAAGACCTGCAAGCCTCTGTGAGTTAATCCTGATAGTGTTCAGGTGTAAACATTGTGCTCCATCCCTGTGTTTGAACTCAGAAGTTGCTTCTTGATGCCGCAGATATGTGATGATTTAGCTTGTTTCTTTTTTTTACTCCAGAATAAGAGATTAAAGTATTACTAAAGCAGTTCAGTGTAGTTAAATTAGTCATTGAAAAGATTCTAACATGCTGTGTGTGTGTGTGTGTGTGTGTGTGTGTGTGTGTGTGTGTGTGTGTGTGTGTGTGTGTGTGTGTGTGTGTGTGTGTGTGTGTGTGTGTGTGTGTGTGTGTGTGACTGCATAAGACAGCATGGCTTCATCAAATCCATGCATCCTATATCTTGGCTGAAGTAATGGCTCAGGAAAATAACTTGTATTTAATAAACAATGATGTCTCTGCAGTGTTTATGATAATGTTTTATCTTATATTGGACCTATCTTTGGTCTGGGAGGTGTAACTTATCATGATGCAAGCCTTTTAAAACATGTTAAAGTGTTACAAGAGGAGATAAATGCATGAATTTGAAGTTCATATTTGGAGACCAACCTTCACAGTTTGGAGGCTCACGCTGGTGAGGAGACACCATTAGTTCTAGTAACACCTGGGCTCCCAAGGCCTGTTCTGACAGGATGTACGTTACGGGAACCTTAAGGATTCTAGTTGGATGATTGGAGGATTATTTAGGAGGATTGGGATGAACAAACTGGTTTCAGTGGTGAAGGGTTAAAGGTATTGGCTCGGCATTAAAATTGTAGAAATGCAAAATAACTACACTTTATTATCTATATAAACATGTACTGGGTCCAGTTTTTTATTTTATTAAGGACTTTTGTCATAAATCATTACAGAAAATCCAAATCCTCTCCTCCAGACAGTGAAGAACTGTGTTTCGCATACGTCACTCCAGCACGTAAAACAAGCTAGCTGCTGATGCTAATATTTTTAATCACTGTTATTTGTTTACTTTCATGCTCCTAATTATTACGTAAAATTGCGTTTACAGCTGCAGCAAAAGGTCTGAGCCATGTGACTGTGTCCTACACGCATTTTTAAATAACAGGTCTGATCTAAAATAATAACCTACATCTATAAATCCATCTAGAACCGCACCGCTACTTCTGGACTCCAGACGAGTCCCGTTAGCATGACTGCAGCAAAACTAACCGTGTTCGCTCCGGTAAGGAAAGAACAAGTCCTTTGGGAAAGCTACGACACACACACACACACACGCACGCACGCATGCACTCACATACACACACACACACACACACACACACAGATATAATCTAAAAGATGATCTCTATATTTCAACATTAGAACCTCCATGACATCCTGGATTAGTGCAAACAACGAGTTGAGCTAAGGAGTTACTCCAGCATCAGGAAGATTTATTCTGGTAAATTGTCAGTTAAATATTTTCCAGACTTATGTCAATAAATACACACAGCAGTAAAACTGTAGATTACTGAACTATATTGGGACACATGATGGAGCTAAAACCAGCTGAGAACTTGTCAGCTTAGATCTCCCAGTGGAGCACAGAAATGAAATATTTAAGAAAAGTAAACTAACTGTACCGATTTTGGTTCTGAAGATGAACAGAATCCTCCTCTATGTCCAAATCAGGTCGCAGTTCTTCTGAGTCAAACGGTCTAAAACATGTCTGCACCTCTGGTAGTGATATCCAGCTGGCGGGGTCGGAGTTCGGTTGAACTTCTCCAGTAATCTAATATCCGTTCTCGTCGCCGTATCCCAGAGAAAAAACAAATCTGATGGACTAGTAGAGGCTTCAGAAGCTACATCTGATTGATGACACAATATTCTCTGCTATAACGCTAACGCAGAAACAGCGGAGCCAGGCGTTGTTTACTACAGCTGTTTCAGCAGAGCTCCATGTGAAACGTCACCAGCTGCCCAGGGCTTAGACCGGAAGTTAGTTTCTGTTTTTCCTGCGCCAGTCACAAACATCAGATTTTCTTACAATTCCAGCCGTCAAAATCCAAAAATCTTTTTCATCTGAGATTTTAATACACATTTACACACGCTGTTTAAACAAATTTTGCCTCTGGCCGATATCTTTAAATGAGTGAGTGAACCCACTACCAAGGATGAACTCTGCTAACTTTAAAAATCAGCTGCTCTAAATAAGCATTCAGGGAAAAGTCATGGGCTTGTGACTATAACCTAATTTATGTTCCTAGTTTGCAGTGTAACTGCCTTTGTACTTCAATATGCATATTTGTTCATTTAATTAAAAAAACGGCCACTTTGACATTTATACCCCATTGTCTTTTTTTAACTATTCAGAAGAGCCCGTCCTTGCACAGTCAAAAAAGTAACTAAGTAACTTTTACTCTGACTACATTTGAAATAAGCTACTTTTTACTTTTACTTGAGTACATTTTGAGGCAGGTAATTTTACTTGTAATTGAGTAAAATTTCATGAAAGTAATTATACTTGTACTTAAGTACAACATTTTAGTACTCTTTCCACCTCTGCTGTGATGGATGCAACTAGATGTGATGTATGAACCTATGTATGAATGCGATGTTAATCAGAACTTCCATATCTAGGAGTTCTGGATGTAAAAGAATTTGGTTTGCGTTAAGCTATGAAGTTGATTATTATCAAAACACATCAGACGCTATCTGTGTGTCTACTTCACCCACTTTCGGAGACCCTCTTAGTGGATCCGAAGGTCAGGGAGGTCGGATGACCTCTGGCACCGAAGGTCCAGTAGATTGACCACAGAGTTAGGGTTAGGTCACTAACCCTAACCCTCTAGAACTGAGGAATCAGTAGAGTAACCTGGTTTTAATGTCCTCATGTTATGATTTGTGTAGCCAACCAGAGGTTGACAAGTTTGAGGAATATTGCCAAGAATCTCAGAAACACGCCTTCCTTGATACCGGACGCTCTGATCTGGGTAAAAGACTATTTAATTTAATTAATAAAGTATTTTTGAATTGAATTGAATTGAATTATGTGTCAAGAGTTCAATTTAACCTTACTTTGATCTGTGTGAGTGCAAATGGTGATGACCTTGTCATAAAAACATGCAGACACATATTTCAATCTCTGTAATCATAACTTAACATTCATTTCAAACTTTAATTATTGAGCACAGATTAATGAAACATTTAATTACATTATAATTATTATAAGTAGCAACAAATAAACGTTTATTTAATGATTATCTAGCATATAAGTTGTAGAAGTTCATATCTGATTTAGGAAATCCGGGCTGCGAGTGTGCCTTATATGGAGGCATGAAGAATCCTGAAAGATTGGACCTTGAGGAGAGAACGTTACTGTTGACATTTCGTTATGTGTTCAGAGCTGGTGGGTTGAAGGCAGGTTGATTTAAAGGGGACACACGCAGTCTCGTGTCTCCTTTTTGACCAGATGTTGAATGGTCAAACTGTACCTAAAAACTGACCATTGCTGGATGTTACATGTGTAATAATGATCTAATTGTATCTGTTCATGGCCTCCTGAGCAACCTCTGTTTGGGGGGGAACAGGATTGATAGGCTAACGGGTAGTCTAGACCAACATGGTGGTCTTAATTATATTTACCTTTGATTTCCACATGATAACTGCATAATGTAAAATGACAATGATGTAAAGGTTTATACTTACATTTGGAGCTTTTTTGACAGAAGCACTACATTATAGTCAACCTAGCTGTTAGCTAATCAATCGTACAGCACATGAACTCTCGTTTCTCCAAACAAAGGCCGTTCACGAACAGGTAACAGAGTAATTACTTGTAGCACGTGAATCAATGAAAAGACACTTTTCATGTTCTAACTAGTGACTTCTGTTGTCTTTGGGTTTTTTTTCCAGGCCGTTTTTTGAGGGAATGTCTCAGTCCAGCTCGCAGACAGAGATTGGCAGTCTGAACAGCAAAGGCAGTTTGGGCCGAGACACTTTCAGTCCGGTGAGTGGCTCTGACTCACATCTCCATCTGGGATTACTCATCTCGAATGACGTTCTATCATAAAACCTGCTACAGCCTACAGAAAACTTTTAAATATGTCCACTGCGTTTAAAAAGAGTCCTGAGGAAAGCAACATTTGTGACCAACGCTGGATTAAAAGCACAATAATCTTAAACAATCTAGCGTAAACTGAAGGGCTTTCTATTCACATATTAGCAAACAGCTGCAGAAACTGCCTCAGATGTGACTTTGCATTGATGTGATAAAAATCCATTTCTAAAGCTGGTTTCAAATGCAGATCATCTAGAAATGCTCAATTCTAATGTTTGTTTAATGGGAGCAGAAATCTAATAACTGTCTGAGGGTCCCCATCTGCTGAATCAAAAGGGTTTAATCTGCCTGAGTTGAAAGGATGTCTGCATCTCTTTGTTGCATTAGAGCAGCTTCAGTTTCTCCTTTTATTGGACTGAAATAAGCTTTTAGCCCCGTGAATAAAGAAAAGACTGCTTTCACTAAACAAGCTGTAAGAGCATGCTCTTGAAGATCCTGGATGAGTTTACAGGTTGATAATGATATTGTTCCTCCGATGCAGAGTGCTGTAGTTGGTTTTGTTACTGAATCTCATTGCATCTCCCTGGTCCTCCCAGCAGGGGGAGCAGCCTCCTCTAGAGAAGATGAAGCCGTCCCGCAGCCGAAACCTGGACGACATCCCATCTGAGACGGACACGCTGGTACATACTTCACATCCGTCTCTAAAGTATTTGTTGCCATCTGTGCTGTAAGTGAGACAGATTTCTGCTCATAGGAGTTGACGGATCAGGAGCTGTTTGCCGAGGTGGGCCCTTGCATCACGGTGTCTGTGGCTGAGAAACCCCGTACTCCCCTGACGCCCATGAAGAGCGGGAAAAATGAAATTCAGCCCTTGGCGTCACCAAGGTAACAAATAAATCAGATTAATAAAACCTTGTCCAGAGGATCACAGTGCCGGGAGACAGTTTAGTAGCTCATTAGTAGCTAACTATTATTAGCAATACAAGTCAATAGCAGTCTTTTACTTGCAACTCTTTGGGAAAAAATTATGAACCTTTTGTGTGACTGAATTAGTAATAGTTTATTTCTGCAGTTGTCAGCTCAGGAGAAAAAAGGAACGTCAGTTTTATCATCATTTAACTGAATGAAGTTTATGGAAAACCAGTTATTGACCTCCCGAGAGACAATCCTGGAATGACTGAATTGATATAAGGGGATTCAAAGCCAGATAGATATGGCAGTCATCAGCATAGATGTTGAAGTTGATGTTAAATTTTGCTAAAACATAACCCAGGGGGACCATTTACAGCAAGAAATCTAAAGTTCTCAGAATTGAGCCTTGTGGAACACCTCGGGAAAGAGGCAGAGAGGGTGAGGAGCGCTCGTTGATGTTCAGCACTTTGGTCAGCTGTCATGTTAATAAATAAAAATGAATGAATGAATGTTGTTTTAAAAGGTGTTAAACAAATAAACTTGGAATGGTATCGTCACTTTTTATACCTTTTTATACCTGCCATATTGGATTTTGAAATCAGGGTTTGTCAGGAACCTCCAACGTTCCAAAGACTGTTCTTCTGCCACACCATTAACAATTTCATAGAAATAATCCATTTGTATGAATTTCATTGCCATTACCAACAATCCCAATGGCTCTGTGTCGGAACATCGCCGCAAAGAAAATAAAAACTCACAAACATACAAAACATTCAGAAAAGAGACCTAAAAATCACCAGAAAAAGACTAAAACTGACTTAAAAATACATAAAACAATTATGAGATGAACAAAATAACTGATCTGGTCCTTAACCCTCTAATTACCAACCTGTCGCCGCAGACGGGATTGGACATGCGCACTTCTCATTACCATAATTCCTGAACCGTTCAAGATATCTGTAAAATTCCAAAAGTGCTGAAAAGATTAAAAATGGGGCTTTTCGTGCATATACAATACATTACGGAAGCCACCGGGATTCCCTGTCTTGAGCTCAACGAATCATAACACAGATTCAGAGACGTGCTGAGTTTGTCATCCAAAGTGCTTCGTTTTATAACTTTTGAATGACTGATCAGATTCAAAAATTTCCAACGGTTTCTAAAAGTACATAAAAGCAGCTTTCCAACGATCTATAGCAAGAAGCAATCAAAGTTACGGAAAATATTGCTACGAGGGGAAATCCTGCTGTACAGCCTGATTGAAATGGAGCGCAGCGCCACGGTGAAAGCAGATAACGGAACGGGGAAGCTAATTAGCATAAAAAGCCGGCATGAAATTATGGAAATGCCTCAAAGAAAATCAACACGATCTATTAGGTGTCCCAGAAGACTTATATCTGAAGACAGTGACCACGAAGAAGGACAGATTTCCAGTGAACCAGGGTATGAATGTTTGTTCAGTCTTTAATTTTTTTTTATTTGAACAACCCTCAACTATTTGCTAAATAAATAAAAACGTCTGAAAGTTCACAAAAATAAAAGGCCTTAAAAACCGCTAAAAAAGATACCAAGGTTCACACTTTTTAAGAATAGATGCATTACTGTTTATAAAGTTTAAATTGTTCTTTCCAAATTGTTTGCCCAAGTCATTTTGAAGTTCCTGTTCAGTAATAAATGTAAAAAATTCAAATCAGTTTTTTGCTTTTTTCACTTTTAAGCTGATTTTTTAAATGCTTTAATAGAAATAAATTCTAAATACAAACCATACACTGAAAGCTGAGGTTGTTCTGAAAAGAGAAGAGTTACACACACGTTGCACTTTTTATTACAATTTTACAGCCATAAGATAAAAAAAACAGGCGGCCCTGTTATAATTATGGTCATAAGAGGGTTAAAAGGACCCAAAAAGAGCTCTAAAATGTTCTCGACAGGTAACAAAATCAGCAAAATGAGACAAATTTACATTAAACTGATAAAAAATGATCACAAGACTAATGGTACAAGAGACGACGTGACTAAAATGTGTCTAAGCTTCTCCAAAATGCTCATCAGATCAACTGGTTCTCTGTCTTGTTTCCATGGAAACAGTCGTTCTGTTTTGTAGGTGCTCCATTGGAAATGGCATCAAAAGTTAGTTTGATGAGGGTGAGGACTCAGACTGTGAATGTCCTGTCGCTAACGTGTGCTTTGCTTTAGTATCTCATTTCCTTTTTACCGCGTGATCGTCTGTCCGTGTCGAGCTTAACCAGTCCTGAGTCATGTGACGAGTCAGCTGCTAACTTACTGCTCAGGAATTACGTTCTTTGCAGTTTGGTTGAATTTGTGTCTCCCCTCGACCCCAGGCTGGAGGGAGGCCACACACCCCGGCAGAAGCGCGGCAGCATCACCCCCATGAAGGAGAGACAGCTGTCCAAACCCCTCAGCGAACGCACCAACAGCTCCGACTCGGAGAGATCCCCCGAGCTGGGACACAGCACGCCGGTACGCCGCCGCCCAAATCACATTTAGACTCGGAACCTTTACTTTCCAGGATCTTTTCATCTGAGCACACACAAAAAACCTGTAGCTCCCGCTGAGGGGTTCACGTATAAAAACACCTCCTCCTGTTTACTTCGGTCTCTAAAGAGAGTTCGTTAATGTAGCATCGCTCGCAGCTCAGACATGAATTATGTATGTGCAGATGAGTCATCTGATGAGTGGATGCCTTCCTGTGTGCGTGTGTGTGTGTGCATGCGTGCTTGTGTGCGTACGTGTGTGTAGGCTCTGAGGAAAGCTGTGTACGATCAGCTGAACCAGATTTTGTTGTCTGACTCAGCGCTCCCTGAGAGCCTCATCCTGGTGAACAGCATCGACTGGCAGGGACAGGTGAGCCTCATCTTGATACCTTGTTCCAGAAGCAGGTCGTATTGTTTTCATTTTTATATATATTGTGTGTGTGTGTGTGTGTGTGTGTGTGTGTTTCAGTATGTGGGGGAGCAGCTCCAAGGACAGAGACACCCCGTGGTCTGCACGTGTTCCACCGCTGAGATCCAGGCGGTGCTTTCTGCTCTGCTCACACGCATACAGAAATTGTGAGTTTAGCCTCAAATCTAAAAACACACATTTCTGCTGTGTTTACTGGTTTTCTCTGTATTATTATTTTCAAACTGTCCTCTTTGACTTCTGGACTTATTACAAAAGAGGATAAGGGGCACTGAAAAGAAAAAAAGAAAAAGAAATATTTTCATCTTTAATCTTCTGGCATTGATCTCGGAAATGTGTTTTCCCATAATTAACTTTTTTTCCTCAGAATTCTGACTTTAGTCTCAGAATTTTAATTTTAGTCACAGAATTCCAAGTTTATTTTCAGAATTTTGACTTTGATCTCATAAATCTGATGTTTGTCTCAGAATTCTGACTTTAATTTAAAAATTCTGACTTTATGCTCAGAGTTTTGACTTTGGTCTCAGAATTATGACGTCTGACTAGTCTCAGAAATCAAAAAAATCCTCATTTTTTTCTGTTCAGTGGCTCTAATACTCTTCTGTATTCTTAAATTCCTTTTTTTATTCAATGTTAATTTTTCCAAACGTACATCTTTTGAAACAGATTATGTAACATTTTCTCTAAATTGAGTAAAATCCAGTTACATCCTTTCTCTCTCTGCTCAGCTGTAACTGTAACTCGTCCATGCCCCGCCCTGTGAAGGTGGTTGCCGTCGGCAGCCAGAGTTACCTGGGAGCCATCCTGCAGTTTTTCGTCACCCAGCTGGCCAATAAGACGTCCGACTGGCTCAACCACATGCGCTTCCTGGTGGTGCCTCTGGGTGAGGACGCTTTCTGTTTCCATGGAGATAAATTGGCTTTTCCTTCTTCCCCTCTGTTTTTATGCGTTTCCTGTCCCTATCAGGCTCCCATCCTGTTGCCAAGCACCTCGGAGCCCTTGACAACCGCTACAGCTCCTCGTTTCTGGACGGATCGTGGAGAGACGTGTTCAGCCGCTCTGAGCCACCTCAGACAGGTGTGGCTTGTTAGGGCGACACACGGCTTCTCCGCCTCCTGGAGCTCAGTGCTGATTCTTGTTTTTCTCTCATCTGCTCAGACCAGCTGGACGTAGCTGGAAGGATCAACCAGTACATTAACGGAGCTTCAGTTACACATCAGCTACCAATCGCTGAGGCCATGCTCACCTGTAAACACAGGACGTGAGTTCAGATGCTGCAGACACGAACTCCAACACAACACCGGCTCACATCAATAACATCTGTTGGCTTTTTTCTTCTTCCAGGAGAGAAGAAGACTCCTATCAGAAGTTTATTCCTTTTATTGGGGTGAGGTTCTGTCCACTCAAAGAAATTCTTTTAACATCATCCTCATTCTGACGTGACCTGTTGTTTTTCAGGTGGTGAAGGTCGGTCTCATCGAGTCGGGCTCTTCTCCAACAGGTGAGTCTCTAACGAGAGGTCCATCAGAGCACTGATAACACCCGATAAACCTCCTGATGTTCTCTGTTCCTCAGGAGATGCAGAGGAAGGAGTGGGAGTTAGCCTGGCTGTCCCCTCCACGTCTCCGCCGTCCCACGGCTCCCCCACGGGGATGATCAAAGAGGCAGCCACACCCCCTTCCTCCCCCTCTATGGGTAGCGCCCTGACTGTGCAAGGGTAAAACCACATACCACAAATGGAGGTCTAGATGGGAGGGAAGAGGTCATTCCTTAAATGTTTCGTGTCTTCAGGAGTCCCAGTGTGTCCCACGGCGTGGATGCCATTGGTCTCCAAGTGGACTACTGGCTGGCCTCGCTTGCCGAGAAGCGGCGGGAGGGTGAGCGGCGTGACACCAGCTGCAAGAACACACTGAAGAGCGCTTTCCGCTCGCTGCAGGTCAGCAGGCTGCCAGGAGGGGGCAGCAGCGATCCACAGACACAAGTCAGCACCATGGCCATGACCGTGGTCACCAAGGAAAAGAACAAGAAAGGTGAGGTCATCTATAGTTCAAGGCGTTGAAATGTTTTACCTCCTCTCACACTCATTCTTGTTTTTGCCACTCTGACTGCCCTCCCATCAGTTCCCACCATCTTCCTGGGAAAGAAACCCAAAGAGAAGGACGTGGACTCCAAGAGCCAGGTCATCGAGGGCATCAGCCGACTCATCTGCTCCGCCAAGCAGCAGCAGACCTTCCTGAAAGGTGACCTGAACGCCACCCACGCTCTTGTTTTTGTCGTTCCCCCTCCCTCGTTCACCGCCCGCTGTGTTTTTCTCTCCAGTGTCCATAGACGGCGTCGAGTGGAACGACGTCAAGTTCTTCCAGCTGGCGGCGCAGTGGCCCACCCACGTCAAATACCTACCTGTTGGACTATTCGGCTACAGCAAGCCCCCGTCGTAGGGCTGAGCTTTCACCCTGACCTGTCGCCGTCCCGTCACTACTTTGCACACAGATCTCGCTTGATTCAGCATCAAGCGAGCAGCCGGACCATTTCCTCCATTAAACCCACTAAAACCAGTCTTATTTCTCTGCTAGGGAGGAGGAGTGGTGATCAGGTCCAGCACTCTTTACTAGTCACTTTAATGCTCCCTTTTGTGTGTGTGCATGCACACGTGAATGTACAGTGTGTGTGTGTGTGTGTGTGTGTGTGTGTGTGTGTGTGTGTGTGTTCACAGAGAAATCCCAGCACAAGTTCATCAGCCGACTCGTTTATGTTTCCGTTCTAAGGAATGCAACAGCTATCCACGCCCTCTAGTGTCCATCCAGATTTTTTCCAGCCCTGCAGACACCCGATCCACACATAACAGATACACACCAATGATGAGTCAGCAGAAAAAAGCAGTATGGACGATGCAAGGTCATCACCTGCTCACTAAATAATGAAAGCTGCAGAACAAACCCCTCAAAATGCACTCACAGATGTTTTTTTAAGTCTTCCATCTAGCAGTTTTAAACAGATCTCTCTGTACTAAATGAAATCTGAATGTTGAATAAATAACATAAAAAAAAAATAAAAAATTTAAAGGGGAAGCATAACTTTTTGTGAAAACAGTCCAACTTTCACTTTATTTAGCTGTTCTGTGATGCTCCGTGTGTGTTAACGTATCAGATTTGGAGCTGGAATTAATGTGCTTTTTTTTTTCAATCGCTATGCACGTCTGAACACACACTGGTGATAGCAGCTCGTAAAGTGTTATTTAACCCTCATCAAAGAGGCTAAATATGCAACTCTTAACAAAACGCATGTTTATAATAGTAGTGACCACACCCCACCTCCCTTACAAAAGCACAGTCACCAGTTGTTTATTTATTTATTTTTTTTATTTTTATTTTTTTTTCAAAAATTATTTTTATGAGCAGAAAAGTTTAAAAAAATAAAGACTTCCCTATAATTTAGTTATTATGTGCAGATCTACTTCATGGTTTCTCTAAAATGTTGTGAAGTGACCCGTGTGTGTACTGTTAGAGCTAACAGTGTGTGTGTGTGTGTGTGTGTGGTGATTATCAATATCCCTGATTGGTGATTGTTTCAGATTTAGGGCTGCAGGGGTTCCTGTTGTAGCTTGACACAAGGCAAGAGCTCTTTTTTTAATGAAGAATTATAGTCATTTTATTGGAGAAAATTGATCAAATTCCAACATTTTTCCAGATACTACAATACTCAGAACTTCTGTGCGTCTCTGCCTTGTGTCGTCTACATCGCAAGGCCCTTTTTCAACACTGAAGTATTAGAAAAACTTGCTTTCAACAGTGTTAATGCAAGCTTCTTGGTTTTCCTGTGTTGATGTTACAGTGTCACAGTTGTGATGTCAGCAGCCTCGATACACCCGGGTGTCAACAAGGGACAAAAGCTGATTTTTTTAATATTTCCAGATGTTTGAATGTACATCATTAGTTTACATGCGCTTTTCAGTGAGTAAAAATGTTGGTTATGTTGAAAAGGCTCATCCTTACTGACAGGTTATTAAACAAATCGCCTAAAATGAAAGTTCAGATCTTTTAAAGTGACTTTCGTTTTAAATATTATTAATAGTGTTTGAACAGCTTCAGTTTGGAGAGACCAGGATTAGTTGCTTAACAAGCTAACGGCTAATCATGTCAGCACCAAACAATCTAGAAATATATCTGCAGATTTGTAAATGTTGTTAATTTCACATTATTTACATCGATTCATTTAAAAGTATCTGCAGCAGATAATACTGGTGGTGCTAACCAGTGTTAGCACCTTCATTTCAACATGTAGCTAACGCTTCAGGGCTGCGAGATCAGCTGATTAACAAGCTCAAAGCAAATCACAGTTTAGCCAAACAATCTCAAAAGTATCTGCAATTTTTTAAATGACGTCAATTTTACTTAGAATAGATATATTTATGTGGATTAATTTAAATGTGTTTGCAGTAGAAATTAGCGATGATGCCGGCTAGTTTTAGCACCTTCAGTTCAACATGTAGCTAACACTTATGAGCTGGGGTTTCAAATGTCAGAGTAGACAGCAATGTGAAATTTAAAGTGATGGTTCGTAACATTAGCATGAGATTGGAATAATTTAAATAAACAGAATTCTACCTTGTAACAGGTTTCACTGTGACTAGCTGTTAGCTTGTCAATCCAACTGGAACTAACCTGTTTCTTACTACATGTGATTCACAAACCTTCCATTGAAATATCTAAAAACTGGTTTGTGGATTGATGTTACTCATAAAATACTGAAGGTTTTGTTCCTAAAAGAATTTTGAACTGAACAACGTTCTGTGTCCCCGTGTAGTGATTTGCGTGTACTAGTTTTGTTTAAACGAAAGCCTTGGGTCTGTGAGACATTTTATTATTGTTTCAAATAAATTCAGGTTCATTACATAAGTTTTCACAAAGAAAGATGAAAAGCCTAGCTTAGTGTGATTGCTCTAATAAGGAGTCAGATTTTCCACTCTGGATACCAAATTAGAGCTAAAACAAAAACGGAACCGTCTCAGTTTTGTATAGCACCACTCTGATCATGTCAAATGTGACTATGTGCAGATATTTCTGATCAAATTCACAATTAAGATTTTAAAAAGACTCTGCATGGTTCTCCCATTGACTCTACTGCCCCAAGTGGCCACAAAATAATAGTGATGTGGTTGTAATAAGCCTGCAAGTGTCACTAGACAGAACTAATGATTATTCACCAAAACATCAACAAAAAAAAAAGTTTTAGTAGCTTTTGCCTAATTATTCACCCCTTTATCTGTAGTAACTGGCCAGTTCTTTTGTACGAGTTATTTATCATTTGGTGATTTGATCAAAAATAGGATCATTTGGAATGAAAAACCTTCAGTGTTATTTTGTTATCAAGATAAAATAAATTAGGATTAAATTTTACATGTAGTTATTACTTTGAAAAGGGTGTGTGTGTGTGTGTGTGTGTGTGTGTGTGTGTGTGTGTGTGTGTATGTTTGGGGGGGGCTCAAAACACAACAAATAGGGTGATTTTGGTCCCAAAAGTGTTCTAATCTTGTTATTTCAGTGAAACGCCTTTTGTCAACTGTCCAATGTCTCTACTGTCCTCTTGGAGACGCTGGTTGTTCTGTGCAAGTCTTTGACCTTCTACGTGTTTTCCTTTGGAAGTGGCCCTCTGTGTCTACCTGTGTTTGTGACAGTGGTTCCTCTGTCTGTGGTTAGAGATTAGAAGCTGTTTGGTCCATCAATAATCTCAGTGAGTGGTCAACAGTGTCTTCTCTTTCTGCCGTCTTCAGATTTGGCCTCTGTTGGTGATCCAGTCTTTTTACCTGGCTTCCACAAGCTCGCCTTCCTGAAAACACACCTTGTGTCCTCATTGCTTGTAAATTGGCCGTCAAACTGAGTTTACGTGTTCATGTGGATTATTTCTGCCTGATGAGGTTTTTGCTGGGAGCAGAACATCCTGAGCTTGTGGATTTGTGAAAAGTATTTTGCACATGCCATTTTTCTTCAACAGTTTTATTTTTTTATTTTTTGCCTTCTGCCTATAACAATTAGAGTAAACTATGATGCTTGTACATATCAGACTAGTGATGTTGTATTCTAGGTTTGTTTTTCTTACTTTGACATGTTTGATAGTACTGCTTTTTTCATGATTGCGTCTGTCAGTTGGAACAGATGTGGAGTGACAGTTAAAGTGGTCATTGTTTCATTAGTTTTTTTTTAAATAAAGATATTCCTGATTTGTAGCACTGTTTTTTTAAAGAAGAGAAAAAGATGACAAAACAAGTGGATAGTAAAATTATAATGTAAAGTATTCATACAAAGTTATCAAAGAACAAAACCTTCCATGATAAATAGAAATGGGCAACTACAGATGAAAGTAATAAAATACACATTTAAAAAGGAAGTCTGCAAAATCTTTTGCATCTCTTTGTGCTGCCACGTGGGTCTGGTCTCCTTCTATAAACCCTCAGTTTCTGTCAGTTGTTTGGCGTTTGGATTTATGTGCCTAAAACAAGCCATTTTGAAAAGTCCCCATTTGTGATGTCACAAGCGGGGAAATTGGCAAAGAACTCTCTCACCTCTCCGGGCTGGAGGACCAGCTGCTCTACTCTGAGCATCTCCCTGATCAGGGGATAGGTGTAGGCATGGCCAGCAATAGCTGGTTTTCTGAAAGTGACAGAGCCCTGAAACGGCTCATTCTGGAAGGCACTAAAAATCAGTCCATCCAACCATTTTCAGCCGCTTTTTGGGAGTTGGGTCATGAGGGCAGTAGCCTAAAGCAGGGAGGCCCAGACTTCCCTCTTCCCAGCCACTTGGACAAGATCCCCTAAGGGAATCCCAAGACATTCCCTGGCCACAAAGATGGCCCTAACCCAAGAAACATCATGTCCCAGTTCAACCCTTGGGTCTCCTCTTGGTTAGACGTGCCTGAAAAACCTCACCAGGAAGCATCCTGACCAGATGCCCAAGCCACCTCAACTGGCTTCTCTCGATGTGGAGGAGCAGCGGGTCTACTCCAAGCCCCTCCCGAATGACGGGAGTTTCTCACCCTCTAAGGGAGAGCCCAGCCATTCTGCACAGAAAAATAATTTCGCCCGCTTGTATCCGCAATCTCGTTCATTCAGTGACTACCTGTGACCATAGGTGTGGAAAGGAAGGTAGATCGACCAGTTAATGGAGAGCTTCACGTTCTGGCTCAGCTCTCCTTTCACAACGACAGACCCGTACAACGCCCACATCACTGCAGATGCAGCACCAATCCAACTGTCAATCTCACGCTCCAGTTTTTCCTCACTCGTGAACAAGACCCTGAGTTACTTAAACTCCACCACTTGAGGCAGGACCTCATCCCTGACCCGGAGAAGGCATTCTACCCTTTTCTGACTCGATACCATGGTCTCAGATTTAGAGGAGCTGATTCTCATCCCAGCTGCTTCACACTCGGCTGCGAACCGCTCCAGCAAAAGCCGGAGCTCACATTCTGATGAAGCCAACAAGACCACATCATCTGCAAAAAGCAGAGACCTGATCCTCAGGCCACCAAAACGGATGCCCTCCACACCTTGGCTGCACCTAGAAATCCTGTCCATAAAGGTTATGAACAGAATTGGTGACAAAGGGCAGCGTTGGTGGAGTCCAACTCTCACTGGGAATGAGCTCGACTTACTGCAATGCGGACCAAGCTCTGACACCAGTCATACAGGGACCTAACAGCCCGTATCAGAGGGCCTGGTACCCCATACTCCTGGAGTACCCGCCACAGGGAACACAGTCGAACACCTTCTCTAAATCCAGTTGGAACACACCCTGCGGCCCCCCTTTTTAAATGTTTTTTGACTACCTCAGTGGCCGCTGCCTCAGAGATTGGGGAGTCCAAGCCAAAGTCCCTAGCCTCCACTTCCTCACAGGAAAACGTGCCAGTGGGATTGAGAAGGTCTTCAAAGTACACCGCCCACCGATCCATGGATCAGTGGTACTGAAAGTGAAAAAGAAAACTGCTGCTAATTTCAGAGGAAACTTCATAAATGAGTTTGGAAAAGACCATAGGACTGTATTATCTTTTTTAAGCCATAATGAATCTCCTTGTTTGTTTGTGTTGACATTTAAGCCACTTTTATACAGACTTTAAAAGACATTAATACTAAATACTAACTGGACACAGTTACAAACATTTAGCACTTTTTATTACAATTTTACAGCCATAAAACTACAAAAGTACCAGGTGGCCCAGTTCTAATTATGGTCATAAGAGGGTTAAGACAAGTATACTGCAAATGTTTGATCAGCAGTTCCCTTAAACTAAATGTGTAGTCTTGAGATTATTTCCAAAACCAAATAAGGCTTAAAAATATTACAAGTATGTAATTAAAATGAAAGCTAATAATAATAGCAGTTACTGAATGAAAACATAGTGAAATTCAAGCTTGCGTTTTCATTTATCTCTGGAAATATCCATCGAAATGTTGAAAAATGAATAAAATGATGCCTGGTGTTTGAAAGATATTGGCGACTTTGTAATATATAACCATAAAAATCGGGTCTAAAATGCATGGGAGCGGGTCTGGGCAACGACATCTTAGACGTAGTTTCCTTCTGCATTTCCTGATTAGTCACAAACAATTACAAAATTTTTTACCATAAAATGTTGTTTGACAGATTTACCTCTTCGCTCATTGCCAGTGATGATACTGAGTCTGGTGTACTTGTCATTTTGCTGGAAGTTGCACTCCCAGGGATTTTTGACCCTAACGGCCATCCATAAAGTCATACCCAAACACAAAAATACTGCTTGCTTGCAATGATTTAGGTATGTACTGCCCCCCATCACCAGGAAAAATACACACTGTTACTTTATCTAGTGGGAGAGCTGCCTTCAAAAAATTTACTTTACTTTACGTATGTAAGGTGTTTAACCACCGACCAGAGTTGTTTTTAAAGAGAAATCGTGTGATATTAGTGTTTTATTTTGGAATAATTTACCCGGAAGTTGCCAACCAAAGTGTTTTTAACCACGAAATGCACTTTATTTTGGTAAAAGTTCACCGGAAGTTGTCGCACATGACTAAACTTGACGCGAGTGCTTCTGGAGCATCACAACATTGAATAGCTGCCTTGTTCCGAAGTCGGAAAGCATCGCGCTGGTCTTCGATGAAGGTAATAAAGCTTTTTCACATACTTACGTAGAGGAATAGATGTTATAAATGTACACATGATGGTAATTTCCAAGCTTATTTTTAGCCTTTAGGACGGCGACGTCTGCGTTGAGTCAGAAAGAGAGTCAGCGTTGCTGATGAAACCTCTCTTGAAAATACTCGGTTTGGGATTAATCGTGTCTGTTCTAACTAACACGTTCCCATAAGCACTGTGAGATGTGTGAAAACTCATCTCCGATGTGTTTAAGCTTGGCCCTTCACTGTTTACCAACATGTCGGAGCCTGACTCCACACATTTTCAGTCATTTCAGAAAATGTTTGCAGTGATTTTCTACATGAACGTGTTCATCTTTGTCCTTGTCGGTCACCTCCACCGATCTGCTGCCAAACCTAACGCCCCCTCCCTCCACGGCCACAGGCCTCGACCGCTCACCGGCCCTCTTTGTGTGTTTTAGCTTAAAATGGCTCCGATTCAGTTTCACTCATACGCGATGGGGATTTCACTCGGATCACCGATTTCTGCTCTGTGAAGCTTCCGTCGGTGCAGATGTGGGTGAAGTGTGGATATTGGTGCATTGCAGTCAGCGGATGGGAAGGGGGAGGAGGAGGAAGAGGAGTTAAAACAGACCGCGAGAGGGGAGGGAGGAGTAGAACAGGTGCGTGTGCTCCATCAGAGCAGGGAAAGTGAGAGGAAGCTGCTTTAACCCCAGTCAGATCAGTGGGAGCCGTGGCTTTTGTCTAAACCGATTATTCGCACCGATTTGATTCATGTTCTCATGGCCGATTCCGATCTTAAGATTCATACACATATAAAATAAGTATGTTTGATTAAATACATCTGCTCCCTGGGCTGTCACCTTACAGTGGTGGAGGGGTTTGAGTGTCTCAATGATCCTAGAAGCTAAGTTGTCTGAGGCTTTATGCCTCAGGTAGGGTCACCCATGGCAAACAGGTCCTAGGTGAGGAATTAGACAAATAGCAGCCCAAAGACGTCTTATGATGAATTATATAAATGGAAACCGAGTTCCCTCGCCCGGACGTGGGTCACCGGGGCCCCCCTCTGGAGCCAGGCCTGGAGGTGGGGCACCTTGGCGAGCGCCTGGTGGCCGGGCATTCACCCATGGAGCCCGGCCGGGCACAGCCCAAAGAGGAAACGTGGGTCCCCCTTCCCATGGACTCACCACTCGTGGGAGGGGCCAAAGGGGTCAGGTGCAGTGTGTGACGGGTGGTGGTCGAGGGCGGGGACTTTGGCGGTCTGATCCTCGGCTACAGAAGCTGGCTCTTAGCACATGGAATGTCACCTCTCTGGTGGGGAAGGAGCCTGAGTTGGTGTGTGAGGTTGAGAGGTTCTGACTTGATATAGTCGGACTTACCTCAGCGCATGGCTCTGGAACCAGGTTCCTTGAGAGGAGTTGGACTTTCTACCACTCTGGAGTTGCTCCCACTGAGAGGCGCCGAGCAGGGTTGGGCATACGAGTTGCCCCCCTTCTTGGTGCCTGTACTTTGGGGTTTACCCAGTGAATGAGAGGGTAGCCTCCCTCCGCCTACGTGTGGGGGGACGGGTTCTGACTGTGGTCTGTGCTTATGCACCAAACTACAGTTCAGACTACCCCCCCCCCCCCCCCCCCCCCGTTTTGGAGACCTTGGAGGGGGTGCTGGAGAGCGCTCCTTCCAGTGACTCCCTCGTTCTGTTGGGGGACTTTAACGCTCACGTGGGCAACGACAGTGAGACCTGGAGAGGTGTGGTTGGGAGGAACGGCCCCCCTGATCTGAATTAGAGTGGCGTTTTGTTTTTGGACTTCAGTGCCAGTCATGGATTGTCCATAATGAACACCATGTTCAGACATAAAGGTGTCCATATGTGCTCTTGGCACCAGGATACCTTAGGCCGCAGTTCGTGATCAACTTTGTTATTGTTTCATCTGACCTGCAGCCGCATGTCTTGGACACTCGGGTGAAGAGAGGGGCGGAGCTGTCTACTGACCACTACCTGGGAGTTGGCTCAGATGGTGGGGGAGGATGCCGGTCAGACCAGGCAGGCCCAAACGTATCGCGAGGGTCTGCTGGGAACGTCTGGCAGAGTCTCCTGTCAGAAGGAGCTTCAATTCCCACCTTCGACAGAACTTCCAAAATGTTCCATTGAGTCTGAATGGACTTTTAAAAAAGGGGACCGCGGGGTGTGTTCCAACTACAGGGGGATCACACTCCTGAGCCTTCCTGGTAAGGTACCAGGCCCTCTGATATGGGCTGTTAGGTCCCTGTATGACCGGTGTCGGAGCTTGGTCCGCATTGCCAGCAGTAAGTCGGGCTCGTTCCCAGTGAAAGTTGGACTCCGCCAAGGCTGCCCTTAGTCACAGATTCTGTTCATAACCTTTAAGGACAGGATTTCTAGGCACAGCCAAGGTGTGGAGGGCATCAGTTTTGGTGGCCTGAGGATCAGGTCTCTGCTTTTTGCAGATGATGTGGTCCTGTTGGCTTCATCAGAACGTGATCTTCAGCTTTCGCTGGAGCGGTTCGCAGCCGAGTGTGAAGCAGCTGGTATGAGAATCAGCTCCTCTAAATCTGAGACCATGGTCTTGATTCAGAAAAGGGTAGAATGCATTCTCCGGGTCAGGGATGAGGTCCTGCCCCAAGTGGTGGAGTTTAAGTATCTCGGGGTCTTGTTCACGAGTGAGGGAAAACTGGAGCGTGAGATCGATAGGCGGATTGGTGCTGCATCTGCAGTGATGTGGGAGTTGTACTGGTCTGTCGTGGTGAAGAGAGAGCTGAGTCAGAAGGGGAAGCTCTCGATTTACCGGTCGATCTACGTTCCTACCCTCACCTATGGTCATGAGCTTTGGGTAGTGACGGAAAGAACGAGATTGTGGATACAAGCGGCCGAAATTAGTTTTCTCAAGAGTGGCTGGGCTCTCCCTTAGAGATAGGGTGAGAAGCTCGGTCATCCAGGAGGGGCTCAGAGTAGACCCGCTGCTCCTCCACATTGAGAGGAGCCAGTTGAGGTGGCTCGGGCATCTGGTCATGATGCCTCCTGGACGCCTCCCTGGTGAGGTTTTCCGGGCACGTCCAACCGGGAGGAGACCTGAAGGTAGACCCAGGACACGGTGAAAGGACTATGTCTCTCATCTGGCCGGGGAACACCTTGGGATTCCCCCGGTTGGAGCTTGCCCAAGTGGCTGGGGAGAGGGAAGTCTGGGCCTCTCGCCTTAGGCTACTGCCCCTGCGACCTGACTCCGGATAAGCGGATGAAAATGGATGGATCTGAAATATTTCAGATTTACTTGGAATTTTGAACTTTGCAAATTAAACTTCCACATGGAGAAGAATCTGTTCTGGCATTAATTAGCACTTAGCTGTGGTGAGGTCACAGAACGGGGTGTTGGATGCTGTGTTCACTGACACCCCCACCCAAAAAGATATCTATTTAAAAGTTTCCGATTGGCTGTTAACAAATTAAAAGTCTCATTCACTTGTTTTCCAACACAGTGGTCTTTAGTATAGACAAATGTCTTGTGAGTCGATCTCTTTGGGGATAAAAGCTCTGGCACTCTTGTTTCAGGACGTAGAAATTTGTTGGTGAAGAAAACAATCAATGAGTCTCACTGATTAATGTTCATGATATGCAAAGGTCTCGCTTCTGATTGGCTAACAGCAACGCAACTCTTCTGCTGCCGTAGTTAATATCAAAACTACCAATGCAGTAATTTTAAAACAAAATGTCTTCAGAGATGCAGCTTTATTTATTTGATCCAGAGTCAGAGGAGGAAGGAACGTTTGTGGTGGTAGGCGTAACGTTTGACGTTGCAAATAAATAGTTGCTATTGCTAATGACTAGCCTGTATTAGACGAGACGCGCTCTGTGTTTTTCTGCAGGAAAGTCAACAGCAGTTGTGTGCCAAGGTAGGCGGGGCTATGAAGGCTCATTTTCTCTGTGACGTAGCAAAAACATGCTCTTTCTGACCTGATCGGTTTCTGTCTACGTCTCTCTGCGGCGAATGCGGGCCATGGCGGATGAAGTAAATTTCACACTCAGCATAAAAGGGACACAAGACGGTTTTGCTTGCTTTAGCACCCCCTTAGTGTTCATTTAAAATCACTGCCATAAAAACTCAGGCTGTCTTTAATAAACTGTTACTAAGTATTATTAGCTAGCTATAAATACAAACAATGCTGTAAAAATCAACGCTAAGACAAAATCTTTTTGTTTTATAAACCGTAAAGGAAACGTTAGCAGACCAAGATTAACAGAAATGTTAAAGCTAGTGCCTGTTAGTCATTAAGGTCACCATGGTAACCAATACCTGTGTCTCTTATGCTCTGACAGCAAACTTTGAGAGGCAGAGGGGCTTAAAACTCAGGTCATGTACACAATTAGCTGGGTTTTTGTAAGACCGAATATCCTCCCCGCCCATCTAGGAAACAAACCTCATTTTAAACATCAAGTCCAGAGCATTGCAAACATCATGCCGAGCTTGTAGGTGGCAGTACTTCCTCAAATTTTCGGAGACTTTGCAGAAAAACATTCCTTGGATGTGGAGTAACCAGGTGGTGGACATACCCGTCCTCAACGTCGTCCTTCACTGATGATCTTCAGCCCTACACAAACAGCTGCTGTGTGAAAAACTATTGAATAAAAAAAAGAAATATAAATATTTGAAATTTGATTGGTAATAAATAGAAAAATGCCAACATTTCAATGATAGGAGCATTTAAAATACCTGTACAGTTTGGAGAAAATGTAAAAAATAAATCTCAGGTCTTAGATTATTCCTGATTCAGCTGCGTGTTTTAGTTGAGAGACAGAAAATTCATTATAACTAAAGGATTTTTGTCTTTTGAGTCCAGTCTCGTCCCTTAAGGCTCTGAGCTGTTTTTATTTGGTCGTAACTAAAGTTTCAGTGATCCAGCTTTTTTGATTTAACTAGCTGAGTTACTGCTAATGCTAATGCTAACACATGTTAGCGTTTGACATCTGATTTCCTCTCCCTGTGCGGTCTCCTCTCTCCGTTTCCACAGTAAATCAGTGGAGCGATGGCTTCTCCCTTTAACTGGATTTGCCGTCGCTGGCAGACGCTGTTAGCTTCCAGCTCGCTGCAATCCTCTGGGAGTGATCTAAGTCTTCTTTAACCACAGCTAACTAATGCCTCCTCTCTTATCCGCATGATCACTTCTGGTCTAATGTAACCAAACCAAAGTCGGGAGGCAGGATTAATGCCTATTAAACCTACAAGCTTTTTATTTAGAAATAAAAATAGGTTGTAGCTTGAACTCTGCCTCAAAGGCATCCTTTCATGTTGTGTTTTTATTTGTTTCATCTTTTAGCTCTCTGTATTCTGCCTCTACAGTGTGTGTGAGAGCAGGCGATGTCCACTATGGTGTATCCACGTGAAGAAGCCCTGGAGCAACTGAGCCAGGATGAGATCGTCCTCAACACCAAGGCTGTCATGCAGGGTCTGGAGACGCTGCGCGGCGAGCACGCCCAGCTCCTCAACTCTCTGCTGGACTGCACCCAGGCGCCCGTCACCCAGGAGAAGTCCGGGTTGCTCCGGAAGAACCTGGAAGACATCGAGCTGGGTCTCGGAGAGGCACAGGTTAGCTGGTTTGAGCTGTAATTCCATTTAGCACCTGTAGGAGCAAGAGCTTACTCCTGCTTCTCCTCCTTCTAGGTCATCATTGCTCTCTCCAGCCACCTGAGCGCTGTAGAGTCGGAGAAGCAGAAGCTGCGTGCTCAGGTGCGCCGCCTTTGCCAGGAGAACCAATGGCTGCGGGATGAGCTGGCGGGAACGCAGCACAAGCTGCAGCGCAGCGAGCAGAATGTGGCCCAGCTGGAGGAGGAGAAAAAACACCTGGAGTTTATGAACCAGATCAAGAAGTTGGACGATGACGTCTCTCCATCAGAGGAGAAGAACCAGAGTTCAGGAGGAGGAGGAGACTCTTCAAAAGACAGTCTGGATGATCTATTCCCAAATGATGATGACCAGGGACCAGGTGTGATGTCAGAGGGCAGTGGGCTTCAGATTCACCTCTGTGGTGCACACAGAGCTCAGATTAGATCATTTTCTGTAGTAAAGGCTAGTTTGGACCATTATGTGGAGTACACACACACACACACACACACACACACACACACACACACACACACACACACACACACACACACACACACACACACACACACACACACACACACGCGCGCGCTCAACAAATCAGTGTAGTTTCCACTTAAGATATAAATAGGAAGAGATGAAGGATCAGGCTGGCTAATCGAACACAGAGCCATTTTAAGACAACATTTTTTCTATCTTTAGTTTTAGTCTCACTGGATTCCTAGTTATGTGTCAAGGCTGTTTATGTGAAAGGTCGACTGGCTGTGGGTGATGCTTACTGTAAATACGCCCTCTGAAGGGATTTATTTTAGGATAAATCAAGCTATAGATTCTCACCAAAGGGGTAGAAAGTGCTGGAGTTTGCTTTTAAAGAAATTAAAAGATAAGAAAAACACATTTAGGTGTACAAACTAGCATCTCTGAAGAGACTTTGCTGAAGCTAATTTAATTGATCTCATCTCTTCTCTTCTTGTCTCTTGTTGTCGGTGACTTTCTTTTTGGGACTCTGGTAGCAGCCGGCTGTTTCTCCTTCTATGATATTATTGAGAGGAGATCCTCTCACACCAGTGGTGGTCTGCTGCTAAATACGTGTGTGTGTGTGTGTGTGTGTGTGTGTGCGTGTGCGTGTGCGTGTGCGTGTGCGCGCGCGCGCGCAACGGTTCATTGAGGCGGACAACTGGATTGTCCAATAGTTGCTTTCAATCCTAAACGTGTTATTATATGAGGTTTTAGACAATTGTGAGAAAACCACTATCAATTTTTGTGATTTTACTTTATCTCCACAAAATATTTATAGCCGTACTTTTTTAGAACGTTGTTAAGAAGCATTAAAAGACGTTTTAAGCTAGCTTGTTCTGTAGATTTACTTAAGTTCTTAAGTACTTGTAAGTACAGTACTTGCACTTCTTTACTGTATATTAAGTACATGTTTTCTGTATCTGTACTTTTAATGATTTTCTTGAGGCCTTTTACTTTTACTCTACTACATTACTTGTACTTCGCTACATTCCATCACTAGATAGTAGGGATGCACTATATATCTGCATCAGTATCGGTATCGGCCGATGTTTAGTCATGTGACAGTTATTTTAGTCATCTCAGAAGCATAAATGTGTGTTGTGTGTGTACATAACGCAAATTCGGCTTTAATCGTTTTCATTCTATACAAAATCAGCTGACTTTAGAAGCATTAATGTCAGTATATCAGTTATCGGCCATGACAGTGGTATTAATATCGGTATCGGCCCAAATATTTCATATCTGTGCATCACTAGATACCAATGACCTGTGAAGGTCTTCAGTCTTTGCAGCCATCTTTAAAAGTGAAGTAGCAACACAAACAGGAGCGTGGGACCGGGCCGCCCGGCTGGATCTGAGGCTCAGATTTACGTAGAGCTGTAGGGCGTAGACATAAGATTAGCTTCATTTGTGAGTTGGTCAGATTTTTAGTTCAACCAGGAAGAACTTGGTATGTTGCTCACCTATACAGTACACCTGTGTGATGCATCTGTTTTAGCCCAGCCCAGCGGGGAGGTGGCTGCCCAGCAGGGGGGCTACGAGATCCCAGCTCGCCTCAGGACCCTACACAACCTGGTGATCCAGTACGCCTCTCAGGGGAGGTACGAGGTCGCCGTGCCGCTGTGCAAACAAGCTCTGGAGGACCTGGAGAAGACCTCCGGTCACGATCACCCAGATGTGGCCACCATGCTCAACATCCTGGCCTTGGTGTACAGGTGGGGGGCAGCAGGGTTTATTATCCTCTCACTAGTCAGAGATTTGTTGTCACATTTGTTTGTCTTCACCAGAGACCAAAACAAATATAAAGAAGCAGCTCACCTGCTGAATGATGCCCTGGCCATCAGAGAGAAGACTCTAGGGAAGGACCACCCAGCTGTGGCCGCCACCCTCAACAACCTGGCTGTTCTGTACGGCAAGAGAGGCAAGTACAAGGAAGCCGAGCCCCTCTGCAAGAGGGCGCTGGAGATCAGAGAGAAGGTGAGGGCAGAAACTCATCAAACCAACATGGCGTTTTAGTTTCTGTCTATTTGGGAGCTCATGAGTCCCCCACCCCCACCCCGTGGTGTCCAGGTGCTGGGCAAGTACCATCCAGACGTGGCCAAGCAGCTGAACAACCTGGCCCTGCTGTGCCAGAACCAGGGCAAATACGACGAGGTGGAGTACTACTACAGGCGGGCCCTGGAGATCTACGAGTCCAAGCTGGGAGCAGATGACCCAAATGTAGCCAAGACCAAAAACAACCTGGTGGGGGTTGATGTGTAACCATCTAACCTGTCGGGTAACGGTTGGATGTGAGGTATTGATCCGTGTTATTGGTCTCTAGGCAACGTGCTACCTGAAGCAAGGCAAGTTCAAAGATGCTGAGGTTCTGTACAAAGAGATCCTGACCCGGGCCCACGAGAAAGAGTTTGGATCCGTCAACAGTAAGTGAGGCAGCAGCCGCTTAATGCCGAAGGTTCCCTCACGCCAAGTCCATCATGTGCTCACGTGCTCGGGTTTAGAGAGGATTAGCGAGACTGATGAATGACTCGGTGTTTTTATCTTTGATGAGTTAAGGTGAACTCCTGACTGAGTTGTTCCTGAGCATCAGGCAGAGTTAACCATACATATTGTATGTGAAGGTTTCCTGTTTCTCTGATATTCCAAGTTGTACGTCTTTGCCGTCCTTCAACCGTTTTTCAGCTATTTCAGCAAATTTGGGATCAAAGCATTCAGCATGTTCATGACTTTTGGTATCGGCTTCTTTGAAGAGCTCGTGTAATTTTTTTAAAGTGATACTTCACTGATTATAATCGGTCATTCTGAGTGTTTCATGCAGGCTGAACTTAAAATAGTCTCCTACACCTATCTCCTGCATTAGCTTCTGATAGAAAATAGACGGTGAAACTCTAGGATTAGAAAATCCTGACCGATCACTTAACATTCATGGACTCACCCATCTTGACTCACAACGGGGAAGGCTGTTGCGGGTTTAACGTCCAGGAAATGGCAGATAACATGTTGGCTACTAGAAGCTAACTAGCCAATCAGAGGTGAGATGTGCAAATATCAGGAAATAAGAATCCTAATCCTTCCAGAGCTATATTTTCTCCCAGAGTAAGACCTACAAGGCATCCATTCCTACTAGAGACCACTGCAAATGCATTAAAAAGAGCAAAGCAGGCAGTCTCACTGTAGCTTGTCCCCACCAGTGTGTGAATGGGTGAATGACTGGTTGTGTTATGAAGCGCCTTGGGGGGTTGTAGAACCCTAAGAAGGTGCTAGACAAATACAGGCCATTTACAATTTACAACCATGTGTAATGTTAGAACATCTTCTGGGCTCAGAAACAGCTGCTTGACTCACCTAGTCCGCCATTTCCCACAGAGCCAGCTACGCTGTGCTGAGTGGGCTGTTTAGCAACTTGCAATGGTTCCTTCTAGTGGCTGGTAGATGTAAACATAAAACCCAGTGTTGTACCCGCCAAAATAGATATTTGATTTTTGAAATTAAAACGTAGCTTTTAAAGAAAATACTGTACCTTCATTCTGCACGCATCTAAATGCCCAGTTTTTATAAAATATAGCTTTTTACTAAATTGTTTCTTATTCAACCTTTAATACTCCAAAACCTGTCGTCTGCTCCCTCTCCTCTGACTCGCTTCTAATTCCTAAAACAGGAGCGCAAGAGCATTTTTCCCCACAGAGAAATCCATTTATTCTAGAGAGCACTGCTAATGTGTTAAAAAAAACTAGTGAACTTGGTCTTTAGTATTTTTTAATGTTATTCACCTTTTTCTGTGATTCTTCCAGCTCGTTAGAATATTAACACCTTCAGATACACTGCATCAAAAAAGGAGGGAAAATGGTGACCAAGTGGGCGGAGCAAAAGCCAGAATAACAAAAAAAAAATTCATAAACTCACTTCAAAATTTCAAAGCCACTCTAATTTTAACATTTTATCTCAGTTTTAGCTTCACTTCAATTTATCTTCTTCAGCTATCATTTTCATCACTCAGCATTCAAACAGCATTTTTGCTAGAAATGTAATTTATCTAGTCATTTAATAATTTCTGTTTTTGTAGACGACAACAAACCCATCTGGATGCATGCAGAAGAGAGAGAGGAGAGCAAGGTCAGTTATTCAGGTTGACCTTTCATCGGCCCGCTGCCGTGTTACACAAACAGAGCCGTAAGGGCAACGACAACATTTTAATGAGCTTGTTTTTTCCCCTGCCTGCCTCAGGGCAAACGCAAGGACTCCATTCCATATGTGGAGTACGGGAGCTGGTACAAGGCCTGCAAGGTGGACAGGTGAGTCAGGTGACGAGAAGATGGAAACATAAATAACAGTCAAGAACACTCTCATTTGTCTTTCTATCAGTTGAGTTTGTGTTAAGTTGTTTCTATTTAAAATATCATTTATCATAAGAGGAAAAGGCTGAAAAAGCACAATTTATCTTGACTAGTCCGACTGTGAACACGACGCTGAAAAGCCTGGGAGCCTTGTACCGTCGTCAGGGGAAACTGGAGGCAGCAGAGACGCTGGAGGAGTGCGCTAGCAAGACACGCAAACAGGTACGGCCCTCTGAGGGACTTCCTGCCTCTGTTGGGTTAGTTTAATGTTTTCACTTCAGGGGTTCAACAGTTACGTAACCAGACTCATGCACAGGACGACCAGCTAAACTTTGGGATCAGCGTGAGTGTTTTCCTTCATGCATTAAGTTTTAGTGTTTATTTATTTAGTCTGTGTGTTTATGTGTGTTTGGCCTCTTAGGGTATTGATGCCATTAATCAGAGCAAGGTGGTGGAGCTGCTGAAGGACGGAGGAGCTGGAGGCAGCGACAGGCGACACAGCCGGGAAGGAGTCAATGGGCAGCGGGGGGAGGGAGAGGGCGACGACTCTGCTGAGTGGAACGGGGTAAGCTCCTCAGTTAAAACAGATTCTCTCTTTTTCCTAATGTTTCACAAATCTGTTGAGTTTTTGTTTTTTTTCTTTTCCCAGGACGGTAACGGGTCTTTGCGTCGCAGCGGCTCCTTTGGGAAAATCAGAGACGCCCTGAGGAGGAGCAGTGAGATGCTGGTGAAGAAACTGCAGGGTAGCGGACCTCAAGAGCCTCGTAACCCGGGGTAACGTTAACGTCTCCGTGGTATCAGTTAGAATAATTACAATTGTTTTACCCAACAAGATCCAGATCCCTTATCTGTTGATGATGGGGACTGGATTACTCCTGGATGCTTTCAGGTATTAATCCAAATTTAAAACCTTTTACATTTTAAGATTCTTACTCGAGTGAATGTTTGGTTGTTTGGACTAAAACATAAAAAAATACTTCCTAGTTTAAATATGTAACAACTAGTGACACCTAGTGGTAAGGTTTGAGATAACAGCCAACCCCTTTGCAAGGACCTGCATCCATTTGTTGGCACTTTAAAATAGTTGTAGGGGAAAAACAAGACGCCAGCGGTATTTTCATATGGATCATAAATTAATGTGTTTTATTCCAAAGAAAATGATATAATGCCAACACCAACACAAAATAATGTTTGTCACTGGAGCAGAAAAAGCCTTCAACCTCCTGATTTTTTACATTTCTCTCCTTGAATAACTGCATTATGATTTACAGCATAAACTTATTAACTCTAGTTTCCTGCTCCTCCACCCTACTGATTGAAAGTGGAATAACATCTGTTGTAAACAACCCTACTGTAGCTAGCGCTAACAATGAGCTAACGCTAACATGAGCCAACAAATACTAAACCACAAAGTGAAAAAGATCCACACTGTTGGACAAAAAATATTATTTACAAATCCAGTAGCAACAAAGCCAGGTCACCATCGGTCCGTGATTTTGTAGCCTCGTTTAGCTTCCTCAAGTGTTGGTCGTGCCGATGTTCACTCTGGGTTTAGCTCTTTGCTTCACCTCCAAAGACATTACTCTATTACTTTTATTTCTAGGCTCCGCCATAATGCCAACAGTTAAAAGCAAACTTCTTCTTTTTCTTGTGTTTTTTATTGATGGTCGGCAGACTGAAAATGCTAACTGCCAGCATTGCAGCTAACAGCAGTAAAGCATGTAAAGAGCGCCCCCTAGGGCACCTACCCGCTCCACAAGACTGTTAAGTGCTGTTTCTGGTCAGCAGAGGGCTGTCCCATGTGAAGTTGGTAACGTTTCTACCAACAGTCGCTGAACCGTACTTTGAAAGGATTTGGTTAAAGTTTAAAAAAATGCTTATTGTCACTTGAAAATGCATGAGCTTTATGAACTTATTTTCATGTTTCCTGTCCCTTAAAAGTAACACGAGCATCTTCAGTTGTAATCATTGATTCAAAAGCATTTGGCTTAATCACTCCTATAACTAATTAACCTATTAGCCCATATAGCCTGTTAGCCTGTTAGCTCCTATAGCCTGTTAGCCTATTAGGTCCTACACCTTATTAGCCTATTAGATCCTATAACCTATTAGCATAAGATTCCCCAATATCATTTTAATGTTTTTTATGTAGAGAGAAACAACATTGTGTCTTAGTTTTATAAACGGGATATTTTATGTCTTAGGTGAGTTCTTGCTGTGTCTTTGTAAATCCATGCTTTCGTTCTTTTTTAAACACAGAAACAGTTTTGTTTACCTGTTTGTAGCTACGGTTTCGCCGACAGCTGCCGGCTTCTTCAGGCTGATGCTGATGGTGGCGCGTCACTTCCTTCTCCGTTTATCTGCGGGCAGCAGAGGACGTTGTCGCCCTCTACTGCCCGCTCTCCCCTCTCCGACGATGCAGTCCCATGCGTGGTCCAGAAGAAGCAGAAAGTACAATAAAAAAGTCAGCCGTAACAGATCATTGCTTAAGAGAAAACCATATAATGGACTGGGACAGCACACGGATCATAACCACTGAACAACAAAAATACAAAAGATGGATCAAGGAAGCAATAGAGATAAGGAGACGTGGATGTGGGACCATGAACAGGGACGACGGAGTTTACACGCTGGACCACGCATGGGACTGCATCGTCGGAGAGGGGAGAGCGGGCAGCAGAGGGCGACAACGTCCTCTGCTGCCCGCAGATAAACGGAGAAGGAAGTGACGCGCCACCATCAGCGTCAGCCTGAAGAAGCCGGCAGCTATCGGCGAAACCGTAGCTACAAACAGGTAAACAAAACTGTTTCTGTGTTTAAAAAAGAACGAAAGCATGGGGATATTTTATGGATTCTGTCTATTTATGTTTTAATGGCTTGTTTATGTTAAAGTTGTCTTTTTGTTCACAGAATGAAGAGAGCTAGCTCCTTGAACTTCCTCAATAAGAGCAGTGAGGAGACCACACAGGTATGTTTGTTTACATGTGATTCAGTTCAGGCAGAGAGAACAAATCTTTTCCCCCCTCAAAGATGTAACATGATCCGGTCTGCGTTTATCTCCAGGATGCTAACTCCGGCCTCTCAGACAGCAGGGGACTCAGCTCTAGCAATGTGGACCTGACCAGACGCAGCTCCCTGATTGGCTAGAGAGAATCCAGACAAGGAAAGGCCCCCACCTCGGTTTGATCTATCGCTCCTGCAGCATCTTTTCTTTTTTTTAATGACTATGGAAAAAATGGTTTACCGCACTTGATGTAGCTGTTGCTGCCTTGCTGTACAAACGCTGTCATCAATTAGAAAAGTCAATATTTATATTTAGACACAACATACACACGTGTTGTTTACTAGAAAGTGGAGCGTCTGCACCTGAAAGAGTGAGGCGTTCAGGTGCAGACGCTCTGCTTTTGGTATACCGCCAACACATCGCACTTCGTATGTTTAAGTGTTAGCATGACGTAGCTGCTGATGCTAACCATCCACTGGGTGCACTTCAGGTTTAAGGAACAAAAAAACACAAATACAGTCATGTTTCTGGGACGTTCAAAGAAACCTCAACATCGTTTCAATCTCTCTCTCTCTCTCCCTCTCTCTCTCTCTCTCTCTCTCTCTCTCTCTCTCTCTCTCTCTCTCTCTCTCTCTCTCTCTCTCTCTCTCTCTCTCTGCCTTGTTGTTTTTCTATGTAAATACAGTTTTAAATTATTGTTTCAGTCTGTGTGTGTCGTACATGTTATTTTTTACACTTTATTGGATTAAAGAGGGTCCTAACTGGAACAAATACACTATCTGATGGGAGGAGACTGGAAACGAATGAGGGATGATGGCAAGGTCAAAGGAAAGTACACAAATGGTTTATTAGGTTGTTGTTTGAATGAAAACTTTAAATATTTTTACCTCGATTTACTGAAAGGTTTCAGTCTAATCTGCCCACGTGAGCGTGCTGGATGTTTGTTCTCTGCTGGGGTCTCGAAGCTTTTGTCTCCACATCTAAGGAGTTCTTACCTCGTTCAGTTCTTCAGGATCTTACACTGTAAAAAACAATGTGCTGCTTTATCTCTGATTAATGCAGAAAGTAAATGCTAAACTCTGATGTAAGTTATGGATCATTTTTAGGGTCTGAATGACGTAATAATAAAATAAAAACGGGATCATGAGATCAGAATGTTCAATCTATTTTATTTTTTAAGCAGATGCATCAGCTGCTGTATATTTGTTTAATGTGTCCCTCTCTTTTAGTTTGTGTCTTTTTGCACACGTTGATCCTCTTTGCTTTTTTTTACTTGATGGATCAAACCCGACAATCCATCCTCGGAATTTACTTTTCCTTTATTCGTGACGCTGAGCTTTTATTTTGAAGGGACAGACTACTGATGATCAGAATGATCATTTTCATGTGTACTCTGATGTTTTTACACAATTGCGAACGCAAGAAATGGAAAAAATATCAGAACAGTTTCTCACAGAATGTGCTTGTCTTATCAAAATAAAGTCAGACGAAAGTGACATCACATTTGTTTTATTTTGGTAAACATTTCAGTTCTACTTTATTAAAATGTATTGATGTTTTCTAAATTGTTTATGATCATTAGTGTGTAATGCATTAAAAATGTTTATAAAGCTGTTGCTATGTTTAAATATTCATAAATGCAAATTAATGGTATTTGTTATTATCTGCAAAATTACTTTCTAGTTAATAAGGGTGGTGTTATTGTAAAACTGAAACAAATTAATTTTTTTAAATGTGTTTTATTTCAAGAATAGTGGTCGCTGTTTTGTTCAAACTAAAGTCTTTAAATAACTATTCATTTCATTTCCGAGCATTAATCTTCTTATCAGCTTCTGAATGTTCAAGTTGGCCTTGGTTTGGGATTTTAATCAGGAAAAATGTTAAACGGGAGTTTGGGAAGTGAAAGAAGAAATGAATGAAGATTTAGGGAAAGAAAAGTGCTTTAATCAAGTGTTTGCAGCAATTAATACATGGGTGTGTGTGTGTGTGTGTGTGTGTGTGTGTGTGTGTGTGTGTGTGTGTGTGTGTGTGTGTGTGTGTGTGTGTGTGTGTGTGTGTGTGTGTGTGTGTGTGTGTGTGTGTGTGTGTGTGTGTGTGTGTGTGTGTGTGTGTGTGTGTGTGTGTGTGTGTGTGTGTGTGTGTGTGTGTGTGTGTGTGTGTGTGTGTGTGTGTGTGTGTGTGTGTGTGTGTGTGTGTGTGTGTGTGTGTGTGTGTGTGTGTGTGTGTGTGTGTGTGTGTGTGTGTGTGTGTGTGTGTGTGCTGTCATGTAGCTGATGACACACACACAAACGCATATTCCAGTTGTATTCACACTTATGTGCTCTACTGTAGAAAGCAGGAACTTCAGGAATAATAACCTCCATAAAACTGCTGCAGATTCAAATATTTATCTTTAGGAGGATCCAAAGCTGCAAAGAAAACCAGAGTCCTCCTTTTGTTTTGATTTGAATCTTCTGAGAGAATCCTTCCTGTAGCCGTGGACGAGGAATGTTGTATCTTGTATCAATCTTTGTGTTTTATTTCAATAAAGAAATATTCCACTTTTAAAATCGATTGAGCGTCTCATACCTCTCCATCCACTTCCCATCACCACAACAGAAATGGCTTAAAGCAACTCTTAATACGTTTCCCACTTGTCCCTCCCACTGGTTGAAAGGGAATTTACAACATTTGTAAATCCAAAAGGGTTCAAATGAAGGCAACTGGACTTCTTTGGTTTCTTGAAGTCGTTTCTCTTCTCATCCGAGGAGCTTTGTCAGTTAAAACTGAATATGGGAGAGTCAAGCTTATAAGCTATAGCTGTCTGTTGTTTTTTAACGAGCAGAAACTACTCTGAGTACCCCGCCTCTCCATCCCCTGATGAGTTGTTAGCCTCTATTGAGAGGGAGTCGTGTTGACTAGATGCAGGAAGGTGTGGCCTAGACTGAAACTGCTTATGAATGAGATTCAAAGCTGCATTATAGGTGATGGAAAGGTGCAATTTAAGCCCCTCCCCTATTTAAGGTGGGGTTTTTCCACATTTGACTGAGATAGCTTCTTTTACTCCTCTCTCAAACCATCTATCTTCTCTGTCCAGAATGTGGACTTTGTCATTTTAAGTGTGTCCCTTGTCCTTCAGGTGAAGGTGGACTGCAGAGTCTTGACCTGAAGAGGTGGCTCTCCTGTGTTGTGTTATGTTCTTGTGTAATTGTTGTTTAGTTTCCTTGATGTAAAGGTCTGGACAGTTCTCACTACACTGGACTGCATAAACGACACCACTGAGCTTCTGTTTGGGTGTTTTGTCTTCTGGATGGACCAGGTTCTGTCTGAGGGTGTTGTTGGGTTTAAAGTTTACCGGGATGTTGTGTTTGGAGAAGATTCTTCTAAGTTTCTCTGAGACTCCTGTCACGTATGGGATGATGGTGCCTTTGCACCTGTTGTCCTTCTCTTTGCTGGTTGCTGTTTTGGATGCTTTTCCAGACTTCTTTGTAGATTTCACAAAGGCCCATTTAGGGTATCTGCAGTTTTGGAGAGCTTTATTGATGTGTTTTTCTTCCTTTTGTTTTCCTTCAGTCTTTGTGGGAATGTTCTCGGCCGATGGTGTAAAGTCCTGATGACTGACATTTTGTGCTCCAGTGGGTGATGTGAGTACAAATAGAAAATACTGATCTGTATGAGGTGGTTTCCTGTAGACTTCAATGCTGAGACTTCCATCTTGGTCAATTTGCACAGAACTACTGTAGCTAGCACTAACAACAAGCTAACAGTAACAAACCAACTGAAGCCACAAAGTACACCTGATCTTTACATTTCTGTCCTGGAACAGCTCTGCATTTATGGTCTACAGAATAAAATTTAAAGTTACTCTAAACGGTTTCCTGCTTCTCCGCCCTACTGATTAAAAGTGGAATAACAACTGTCGTAAACAACCCTGCAGCTAGCACTAACAATGAGCTAACACTAACATGAGCCAAGTCTTACTAAATAAACCACGAAGAACAAATATCCACACTGTTGGCCAAAAAATATTATTACATACAAATCCAGTAGCAACAACGCCAGGTCACCATCGGTCTGTTATTTTGTAGTCTGCTTTAGCTCTCTCATACGTGTAGGCTGCGCCGATGTTCCCTCTCGTTAGCTCTCTGCTTCGCCCCCAAATACATTACTCTCTAACTTTTAGTTCTAAGCTCTGCCATGATGCCAACAGAAAATTTTAATTTTTTTTCTTCTTGTGCTTTTTATTGATGGTTGGCAAGCTGATAAAGCTAATTGTTAGCCTTTACATTCACTATCAGCACAGTAAACAGCCATTGCCGTAAAGCGGAGGAGACCTCTCATATACCACTAAAACTGTTAAGTGTAGTTTCTAGGCAGCAGAGCACTACAGAGTGCTGTCCAAGGGGGACATTGCTCAAGAACAACTGAAACCAGTTAGAAATCAATAGCACAAAAACTCTAGTGTTGCTTTAAACCATGTCAGCAGTGTGTGTGTGTGTGTGTGTGTGTGTGTGTGTGTGTGTGTGTGTGTGTGTGTGTGTGTGTGTGTGCGTGCGTGCGTGCGTGCGTGCGTGTGTGTGTGTGTCACGTTTCACAGCCAGAGCTGGGGGTGTTAACCAAACTCAGAGGTGAGCACCTATGTGCTATTTCCTGTCTGTCAGACAGTCGAGCCCACCAGGCTTCACGGCCCCACCAGCTGTCTCCTCGGTCCAGGTCCAACATCAGAGCATGAGTGAAGCGAGATCAGAAGGTAAAAGTACCCATCGGGTGATGCTGATTCAGCTTTTTTATTTGATTTAAGAACATTTTGATGTGTTTTTGACACTGAAACCAGTTAGTTTTTGTAAAAACGGAAGAGAAATATCAGGTTACATCAGTAACTCTAAACTTAGAGGCTCTGAAAGTAATTCTGAAAGTTCCGTCATAAAGATTCTGTAGGTTTATTTCCTTTTTCTGGCTTTTTATTTTAAAAAAAGCTAATTTATCCTATTCTAATCCTTTAGTTTCTATAAGTCTGCATGTGCGACCACATTGTCCCACAGGCTGTGTCCATGTCCGCAGTGTCGCCCTCCAGTCCCACCTCACCGGCTCTGGTCCAGTTCCAGCTGGGCCTGTTCAGGGAGATGGTCCAAGTCTCCCCTGGGAATCTGAGCTACCGCCACGCTCGGAGGCTAGCAGCTGAGGTCATAGAGCGAAAGGTAATCTCACACAGGTTTGCAGGAACCTGGACCTTGTTTATATGGGAATATCATTTCCGACTGGACTGAGATCCGGTGGTGCTTTTGGGTTAGAGAAGATCTGAGCTTTGTGAGCGTTCCAATCAGAGAAAACGAGGACCAGAACATCTCCATCACCACCAGCAGCAGGCCTCATAAGGCAGGATGGATCCATTGATCACTTTGTGACGTTATATGATACTTCTGCAAATAAACATCATCTCTTCTCTCTAACACCATCCCACTGTGGAAACATTCAGTGGTTTCTGCCTGAAACATAAGCAGCTGAACTCTGACAGGTCCATTAGTGTAGGATGGAGGAACGTGTAGGTTACTGCATGAGGAGGTGTGGTTTCTGATCAATGTTGGTAAATCCTGCAGAAGTCTGTTTTAAACTCAAGTATAAAGTTGAAGTAAAAAGTGCAAAAAGTGTGGTTTAGGTCGTGAGCTGCAGGTGTTGGTTTGTTTCTGGGCTGGTCCTCAGCGCTGGAGCTGTGTGGTCTGTGAGAGAGCAGAGAAGTTTCCAACCACAGCCTTCCTCCTATGTCGAGCAAACACACACACACACCCGGTGTCGCTCAGAGCCACCTTCTGACAGAAACCAGTTTCCAGGCTGCAGTTGTGTGTGTGTGTGTGTGTGTGTGTGTGTGTGTGTGTGTGTGTGTGTGTGTGTCAGAGTGAACATTGCCCTTTTACATTGTCAGCATTTTCTACCAGGAAAATGTAACAAAACAAAAGTTTTGCTGCCTGTGTTTATTATGTTTTAAAGAGCAAGTTCACTGACAAACTGTTTTTAATTATTATCTTTGAAATGATCGGTCGCTCTTCAGTTTTTCATGCAGGCTGAACATGAAATGAGTCTCCTGCATTAGCTTCTGACAGAAAATAGATGGAAACGGCCGGATTAGAAAAGCCTGACAGATCTACATCACACTGAAAACGACCTTTCACGGACTCACCCATCTTGGCTCATAACGGGGAAGGCTGCTGTTGGTTTACCTTCCAGGAGAGAGCGCATCTCAGCTGGTAGAAGCTAACCGTTAGCATTAGCAATTCTTTCATCAATGTTCCAGAACAGAGTCAGTGGTAGAGTCTCGTTTCTGTTAGCCAATCAGAGGCGAGAGGTCTGAACATCAAGAAATAAGCCTCCAAATCCTGCCGTCTGAGGCTCAGCCGTGCTGAACTTCTAGTTCCTGAAACAAGAGTGCGAGAGCTTTTCCTCACACAGATGGTGTTACAAACCCTAGGTGTTAAGCGTTGTGGCAAGGGGTAACATAAAAACTGATGCGGACAAAGGAGGGGTGAGAGTAAATAAAAGGGTTTTATTTCGCAGAATTCAACCCAAAATACACAGTCCTAGACTGGAAAAGCTCAAAATGAATGTACTTAAACAAAACACACGAAGGAGAAACTGGAGATAACTCAAAACACCTGGGACAAACGGTCCCGGGGAGGAAAACACGACAATAACTATAGATCTAGAAATGAAAAACAAAGAGCCGGAACTAACTAAAAACCAAATCTCGACGGCTATCAATATTATTACAAACACAACTTAAAGCGAGCTATAAAGCTAAAAGCGAAAACAAACGGCCTCACTGGGGCAGAATCAAACAGATCTTCCAAACGAACCAAGGATACTCTTTACTGTTAGCTGAAGTCAAACCAAGTCAATCCGAATTACCAAACCGAGCTAATCGAGGAGAGAAAGACAGAGGTTTAATCTGTGGTTCTCCCGCTGAGAAACTGAAACAGGAATCTTTTAAGAGCGTCTCATCAGCGGTAGATTGTCCACAGCTGAAGCAGAGTGGGCGGGCCGAGGCGGAGGCCAGCCTGATGGAGGACCTGTCCAAGGTCCTGAACAGCAGAGAGGGAACAGGACCGGGCCATACAAGGTGCGGGAGCCCAGGATCCGTAACAGATGGACTCACAACACATTCATTTGGACTAGAGACCACTGTAAATGTGCTAATATGACAAGTGAATGAGAGACTTTCAAATATTTTATTTCTCATCAGTAAACAAGCACACGTGCATGCTGGCGTGGCTCAAAAAAATAAGAGAACACTTTGAAAACAAATCAGGTGAGAGAAAAGAACTCTGCTGGAAATCTGTACTGACATGTGACACGTTCCACATGAATAGACAAGCCTACAGAGGGCTGGTGATTCAGACTCACTGTGAACACAACTGAAGAACTGGTGCAGCACTCTGGTCCAATGTGCTGACAATTCACTACAGCACCTCCAGGTGCTCGTGCTTCTATGGTTTCTATGCTTTTATGTTGGTGCATGGATGGATGGTGTTCTGGTGCCTCTCCTCTCAGATTCTGGCCAGAGCATCACTGAGCTGCTGGACACTCTGATATGAAGCCCAGAGGTGTCAGTTGGACCCAAACATGATGTGTTGAATTTAGGTAAAGTGAGCATGGAGGCGATCATCCTCCATGACCTGGCTGTATAATTGTGCTGCTTCAGCACCACGAGGAGCCCGGTTCCCACTGCACCAGGAAAGAGTAACTGTGGACCTGAGCATTTCACCCTGACACGTGTTGGTTGTCATGGTACCGTCATCCATCTTGTGCTGGAACTGTTATTTCTGTTCTACAGAGCTAAAACAATCTGCAGTGTAGCATCTACATATCAGCATCGGTATCAGCAACACACACACAAAAAAAAAAAACACATGGGGCAAACTACTCTGTAGAGTTCTGGCAGGGCTCGTCCTGTTCCTCCTCACACAAGGAGCAGATACAGGTCCCACTGATGGGTGAAGGACCTTGGATGGCCCTATCCTCCTGATAACGGAGATAGAAGAGCTCTTTGAGATGATCCTGAGGTCTGATTGGATGAATCTTCTCATGTGAAGGCTCCGGACTGCAGCCTGCTCGGTCCTGGTGAGAAGATCTTATTGTTCAGACACCAACCCGCCACTGAGCAGCTGCTGCAGAGACTGACCGACCAGGACCAGCTGCAGGATGGGGACCTCATCGAGGTCATTGTCGCAGGTAATTTCTTTCCACTCAAAGATTTGGTTTCAAAGCCACTGATCTGTGTTTTTCTTCCTTTTTTTCTGATCGGTGGTTTTTGTCCTGACTCAGGATCAGCCTCCGTGGCCGAGGTGAGGATGCGCCCCCACTCCCTGGTGGTCCAGTCCTACCGGACCCCCACCTTCTGCCACCACTGTGGTGAGATGCTGTGGGGTCTGGTGAGACAGGGCTTGAAATGTGATGGTAAGAAGATCCAAACACCAACTAATCTATAAAAATTCCAGACTCCCCATGTTTCTTTGTGCTCATCTACACCAGGTTGTGGACTAGACTTCCATAAACGCTGTGCTTTCCTGCTGCCCAACGACTGCAGTCGAGCACGGCGGCAGGTCAGCACCAGCGTCTCCCTGTTCCCGCCACGGAGACCTCGAACGCACTCGTTATCTAGTCAGACAGGAGGCAGTCTGGAGGAGGTAAGATGATGATCTACTTACTCAAAACCCTCCCCAGTCAAATCAGACGTGCCCCAGGGCTCTGTCCTGGGGCCCCTCCTCTTCATAATCTATCTCCACCCTCTCAGCAATATCTTCCGCAAATTTAATATCCAGTTTCACTGCTTCGCGGATGACACACAGCTCTACATTTCCAGTAAACCCAACTCAATTCTCCCACCATCCTCCCTTACCCTCTGCCTCTCAGAAATCAAATCCTGGTTCACCTCTAATTTCCTCAAACTCAACGGCAATAAAACTGAACTTCTTCTGGTTGGTACCAAAATCCGCCATCTCTAAATCTGACAGCTTTTCCTTAACTATTGACAGCGCCACCGTCTCCCCCTCCCCTCAGGTCAAGAGTCTGGGTGTCATCCTCGACAGTTCACTTTCTTTTCAAGCTCACATTAATAACATAATTCGGTCAGCATATTTCCATCTTCGTTCCATAAACCGTCTCCACCCCTCCCTTACCCCTCATACTGCCGCCATTCTCGTCCACAGCCTCGTCACCTCCCGTCTCGATTATTGCAATTCACTTCTTTATGGTCTCCCCAACAAACTCCTTCATAAACTGCAACTGGTCCAGAATTCAGCAGCCCGTATTATCACCAGAACCCCTTTCTTTCACCACATCACCCCGGTTCTCCAACAGCTTCACTGGCTTCCAGATAAATTCAGGTCCATCTTCAAAATTCTCCTCCATACCTTCAAAGCAATCCACAACCTCTCTCCTCCATATATCTCAGACCTTATAAGTATTCACACCCCCTACCGTTCTCTCAGATCTTCTTCCTCCATCCATCTTGCTGTTCCTTCTGCCTGTCTCACTACCATGGGGAGCAGAGCTTTCAGCCACTCTGCTCCCCGTTTCTGGAACTCACTCCCCCCAGACATCAGGAGTATCGACAGTTTCACCCTTTTCAGAACCAAACTCAAAACACACGTTTAAATCTGCCTATAATCTCTGATTTTATTCAACAGTTTCTCTTTGCTTTTTTTTTCTTCTTCTTTGCGTTTATTGTTGTTTTAATGTATTTTCTGAATGTATTTTCTGTCAAGTGACCTTGGGTGTTCTGAAAGGCACTTTTAAATTAAATGTATTATTATTATTACTGGTGGATCCCTTCACACACCCTCTCTCATGGCTTATTTCTTTTTACTATCTAAGATCAGCTTGTCCAAGCCGTTGTCCAGACCTCCGTCGTGGAACGAGCCTCCCATCTGGCTGGGAGTCGGGTGTGGGGACAGGAGCAGACCTCAGGTCCCCCACACCTTCCACATCCACAGCTACACCAAACCCACAGTGTGCCAGTACTGCCAACGGCTGCTCAAAGGGCTCTTCAGACAGGGGTTGCAGTGCTCGGGTAAGGGACTGGGGCACACATGAGTCTTTCCTCACTTTCAGGGAAGAAGCTTTACAGGTGTGGAACACTGAAAAAACATTTCTTAATAATTATTTCTGATTATAATCAATCTCTCCAAAAGTTTAAATCCTGTTCAAAGCAACAAATCACCGATTCTGACATCAGGAAGCTATGCTGAAAGCACTGGATTACTAAAAACTAATGACCTTCTTTCCTCTTATCAGTTACTTAACTGATCAAACTAACTAGTTACTGTCATCAGTTACTTATTGTTCCAGTTACTTGAAGGCTAAGTTCACTGAGAAACCATTCTGATTTGTTATTATTTTAAATGTGATCAGTCACTCTGAGTTTTTCATGCAGACCAAACATGAAAATAGTCTCCTACACCTATCTCCTGCATTAGTTTCTGATAGAAAACAAACGGTGAAACTCTAGGATTAGAATATCCTGACAGATCTACGTCACACTGTCACTTAACATTCATGGACTCACCCATCTTGACTCACGAAGGGGAAGGCTGTTGTTGGTTTAGCGTCCAGGAAACCGCAGAGAATGTCCCGACTAGTAGAAGCTAGCTGTTAGCATTAGCAACTCTGCACACAGCAGAACTCCTCCAGGTTTGTGTTATTGGTGAAGATAAAACATCAACTCTGCAGAGCAAACAGAGTCAGCTGTAGAGTCGTGTTGCTGTTAGCTCTTCCGGGGCGAGGTGTCCGAAAATCAGAAAATAAAGCTCCAAAAACCTGTCGTTTCACCAGCTGTGATGTGGCTCACTTCTAGTTCCTGAAACAGGTGCACCGGAGCTTTGTTTCCCCAGAGTATGAGTCATAAGGCTTTCATTTCTACTAGAGACCACGGCAAATGTATTGATTAAACACGTGAACCGCTCCTTTGTCCTCAGACTGCAGGTTTAACTGCCATCGGCGCTGTCAGCCGCTAGTCTCCAGAGACTGTCCAGGAGAGAAGAGGAACGTTAACGGAGACGGTGAGTTTCTGGGATTCAGACTGAGATGGATCAGATGTCTGGATCTGATGTTTGTGAAATTTTCTCATGAGCGCAGACTCAGGTCGGCACGGCTTCTCCGGGAATGTCGTGACAAACGTGTCGGACTCGGAGAAAACACAATAAACCTCTGTGGGGTTTTAATATAACTTCAAATCGCACATTTGACTTTTTGTAATTCTTGCAAATTTCAAGTGTTTTTGAGGAACAATTTCCATCGGATTCCGTCTCAGAAAATAGAACTCAAGGGATGAGCCACTGCAGCGTCTGCTCATCAGACAGCTGAGCCCAGGACCTTTGATGAATACTCTTTCAATGTTTAATTTTTGCATTTATTTAAAATCGTTTATGCACAGAAATATCACAATGGTTTTATTTTTGACCCACTTTACTGTTGGCTTTCTGATGCAAAACTCAAAAATCCTACTTGTTGTTGTTCATAAACGCACCATATCTAAGTTGCTAATTCTCATTAGCACTAGCATAAATAACTTTTAGCTTTTAATTTCCACCTGTACAGTTTGTTAATGTTAATGTATCCGTTTTGAAGTCTTTTATTTTGTCAGTTTAAGTCTTTCTTTAGTTGTAGAAATTGGAAAGTGGCAAATTCAGAGGTTTGATCACAATCGAGAATTGGAATGGTTCCTAAAAACAAGCATCGTATGATTTAAATATAAAGAATCACACTTTCCCCCAGTTTTAATTGACAATGCTCTCATTTTTTTCCCCAGAATCCTCAGTGTCTGCCCACAGCTGCCCGCCTAGCAGTGAGGACAACGATTCGGAGCTGACCAACATGATGCAGGACGTGTCGGATGATGAGATGTCTACAGATTGTGACCTGGTGGCTGAGACTGGTGAGGTGGAACCACTGAGGGCGCCGATGAGGTTAGAAGGTCACTGATGTTTTCTGCCCCACACTGCCACCTAGAGGCAGGAACTAACACTATCACCGCTTCATTCCCGCATGGCCTCCACTAGTCCCTGCTTCAGCAGCAACATTCCCCTGATGAGGCTCGTCCAGTCGGCCTATCACACTAAGAGGAGACCAGGGGGGGTTCTGAGAGAGGGGTGGCTGCTGCACCACACCAACACAGACACACTGGTGACACACACACACACACACACACACACACACACACACACACACACACACACACACACACTCTCTCTCTCTCTCTCTCTCTCTCTCTCTCTCTCTCTCTCTCTCTCTCTGCCTCTGCCTCTCTATGATTATGGTTACCTCACCTGGGTCACCTTCTCCATAACGACCCTAATTACATGGACTTGAATTGGTATCACGTACTAATGCATTTCTGATTTATTAGAGCTCATTTATTCTGTGCACATTGAGATAATAAATACTTTGAATCACGTAAACTTAAATAAACCTTATAATTTCTAGGGTTGCACCGGTAGGACAAACTGGGCTGATATCCGATATTACTGCTGCTGTTATGGCTGATAACTGACAGCCATGTATTATAAACTGTATATTACCCATCACCTTCACCCCCCCCCCCCCCCCAAGCAAAAAAATAAATAAAAAATCAGATATGTAAACAAAATGGAAATAAACACTGGTTGTTATGATCAGACCAGTTGATGGTGATTTAGTGGTTGCCTGTGAGTTATTACCTTTGTTTGGATAATTTTGCTTATGTTATCTTGGTTGTTTTTGTATTTTCACTGTGAATATTTATGGAGGACCCACTTGAAAACAAGATGGTTCATCTCAAGTGGTTTCATCCTCCGAAAATACAAGTGAATAGATCAACAAATAGACCGACATCAGCTGATTTTAGTGTGGATGCCAGTAAATTGTTATCCCTCATTATTACCTTTCCAATCACTTTGTGTGAATGTTTCAACGCTCACAGAATCCATCGGGCAAACCCTCTAATGGCCAACACGTGACTTACTACTGTTAAACAATCACATTATTTTCTATACAGTTTTGCATAATTAGATAATAAAATAAATAAAATTGGCACCTGCCACCTGCACTACAAAGACTCTCCACCAGAGGGCAGAAAACAGTCTCAGGTTTCTGAGGAACGTACCAATCCTGTTGTAGAATCTTAGAATATGACATGTTGACTTTTTACGTACGGTGTTCCTAATTTTACCTCTTTTTTCCTCTGTTTCCAGAGAAAACGGCATTACTGGATCCTGGACGGTAAGAGCATCACTCTGTACCAGAACGAGAGCAGCACCAAGTACTACAAGGTGAGATGTTGGAGCAATTCTTTAAGAAAAGAAATGGAAGAAACATGGAGCCAGATGAATCCTTCCACCTTTCTCGCAGGAGATCTCACTCTCCGAGGTGCTGCAGGTCCGAGGCTCCTCCCACTTCTCCGCTTCCTCGTTGCCATGCAAGAGTGACGTTCACTCCTTTGAGCTGGTGATGGCCTCGCTGGTGTTTAGCGTGCATGCCGGTGCTGATGGAGTGGCGTGGGAGAGCGCCATCCGCCAGGCTCTGAGGCCCGTTCAAAGCAGCAGAGAACCTGGAGAAGAGCATTGGGGTGAGCCCACCAGAACCTCCATCCCTGCAGGATGATAAAATACCCATCTTCTGTTTCTAATGATCGTTTCTGCTTACAGATGAGGAGCAGCAGATAAACGGTGGGGTGAGTAAATGGTTTAAGTTTTTAAACACATGCAGAAGGTTTTTTTTTGTTCTTCTTGTACTTTAACGTGATGGTAACGTGTTTCAGGACATCAGCTCCGCGTACCAGATCTTTACAGACGAGGTTCTGGGTTCAGGACAGTTCGGAGTTGTCTACAAGGGTAAGTTTGAGACATCTGAGATCAAAGTCCAGTGGTTTGGCTTCTAGGAAGATCACGTGTTGTTCCACAGGTACTCACAGGACGTCAGGTCGATCGGTAGCCATCAAGGTCATCGATAAGACGCGTTTCCCCACCAAACAGGAGAGACAGCTGAGGAACGAAGGGGCCATCCTACAGAATCTGTCCCACCCTGGTGTGGTCCTACTGGAGGGAATGTTTGAAACATCCAGGCACATCTTCGTCGTCATGGAGAAGGTCCATGGAGACATGCTGGAGATGATTATGTCCAGCGAGAAAGGCCGTCTCCCTGAACGCATCACTCGTTTCCTGGTCATACAGGTGAGAGGTCCATAAACGCATCGTTTTTTGAGTCTTTGGTGTTTATTTGTGGACCTCTGGCTGCAGATACTTGAAGCGCTGCGGTATCTCCACCTGAAGCACATTGCTCACTGCGACCTGAAGCCAGAGAACGTCCTGCTGGCCTCTCCTGACCCCTTCCCTCAGGTCAAGTTGTGCGACTTTGGCTTCGCCCGCATCATTGGCGAGAAGTCGTTTCGCCGCTCGGTGGTGGGCACGCCGGCCTACCTGGCACCTGAGGTGATCAGCAGCAATGGCTACAACCGCTCCCTGGACATGTGGTCAGTGGGCGTGGTCATGTACGTCAGCCTGAGCGGCACCTTCCCCTTCAACGAGGACGAAGACATCCGGCAGCAGATCACTAACGCTGCCTTCCTGTACCCCCGACAGCCCTGGGCCTCTGTGTCACTGAAAGGTCAGATCTCACTTTGTGGAAAGTTTTAGTGCCAAGTTAAAAAAAAACACTTGCTAAGCATTTCAACTTTCCTCTTTAGCGGTGAGCCTGATCAACAACCTGCTGCAGGTGTCTATGAAACGCAGATTCACCGTGGGCAAAGCTCTGGGACACTCCTGGCTGCAGGTCACACACTATCCCCTTGGATTAGCATGGAGATGTGATCAGATACACTCATCTTGTTTCCATTCTCCTTCAGGACTTTCAGCTGTGGTGTGACCTCCGAGAGTTTGAGCTAAGGATAGGCTGCAGGTATCTGACGCACCAAGGAGACGAGGATCACTGGATGCGCTACGCTCAGGAAAAAGGGCTGGTCTTCCCCTTTTATCCCTGCTGGGATCCTGACAAGGAACTGGGCCTGTGATGTCATCACAGAGGAAGTATGTCACAGCCTTTACTTTGTTTTTTATTAGACTGATAGTATGGCACAGCAGAGAGAGAGGGAGAAAAAAAAGACTTTTATACAAAGGGAAATTTGCAAAAGATACTAAACAAATTGCATTTCTTGCAGAAATGCTGTTTGAGTGCTGATAGCTGAAAATGACGTCTAAATCTGGACCAAGTTCACTCATTTTTTTCAACACGTTTGTAGTGGTCTCTAGTATAAATGAATGCCTCGTGAGTCTGTAGGATTAAAGCTCTGGCACTCCTGTTTCAGAAGGTAGAAGTGAGCCAAAGGAGAGGTGAGTGGCAGGTTTTGGACTCTCATTTCCTGATATTTGGATATCTCACCTCTGATTGGTTAACAGCAACTCAACTCACTGACTCAGTTCATTGTACAACGTTGATGTTTTATCGCTACAAATAGCACAAGTCTCAAGGAGTTCTGTTGTGTGGTGGAGTTGCTAATGCTAACAGTTAGCTTCTACTACCCAAGACACGCTCTGCTGTTTCCTGAAAGCTAAACCAACATCTGCCTTCCCCATTGTGAGCCAAGATGGGCTGGTCCATGAACGTTAATTTTCAGTGTGGCTTTTCTAACCCGAGCGTTTCCCCATCTATTTTCTATCACCAGCTAAAGCAGGAAATAGGGGTAGAAGACTATTGTTGAACCTGACATCAAAGTGACTGATAGTATTTTAAAAATAACACGTAAAAAACATTTTCTCAGTGAACCTGCTTTAAGAACTGAAGTGAAGCTGAAATTGAGCCAAAATGTCAAAATTCGCAGAATGTTTTTAAAATTTTAAAGTGAGATAATGATTTATTTTTCCTTTCTGCCTTTGCTTCGCCCACTTGGTTACTATGGTTTTGATGCACGTTTGCTGATGCATTTAAACGAGTTGAAGACGTTCACACGTATTACACGGTGCTAAAAATCACAGAGAATGTTGAATCTCTTAAAAGGTATAAAATACGTCAGTGCCAGAGTATATAGTCTTCAAGTTCTGAAGGAGTTGAACATTTTGATACCATCTTTGGTGTGTTCTTGCTGTGTTGAAATTCTAATTCCATCTTTTATTTCTTTTTAAAACACAGAAAAGTTTTATTTACCTGCAACATTTCGTTTGCGGTTGCAAACTTCGTCAGACTGACGAAACTAAATGTTGCAGGTAAATAAAACTTTTCTGTGTTTTAAAAAGAAATAAAAGATGGAATTTTGATACCAAATTTGCTGAGATAGCTGAAAACTGTCAAACAAGAAGGAAAAACCCCGTTTATTACCAAAGAGAATCAGGAATACTTTAGTTTTAATGCTTACGCATTAAAGCAATCAGAAAATGTGTTCTGAAAATTCTAATTCCAACAAACTATTTTTATAAATGTAAAGAATTTGTGACTTTTGTTTTAATCTATTACATTATGTTTTTATGTATATGCTGTACAAGAAGTGTAAAAAGAACGGGATTCAAAAGAAATGTTTGAACTGCTACTGTTGGCTCATTAAGATCACCATGGTAACCTGAGAAAAAAGCTGGAAAACTGATTTAAAATTAAAACTGTTAAATTGTAAATGTTTTGTGTTTTATTTAGAAAAATAAATGTTACTTCCATTTTGGAAGAGAGAATGATGATGATGTAATTGAACTGTGACAGGATTTCAGAGTTAATTTGAATCTTGTTTATTCGCTAAAAGTTTTTGGGGGAAACAAGAACCAAAATTGTGAGAAAAAAAATGATGCAATTAATGAGAAAAACCACAAACAGCTGCTTAATACCATAATTTTCCCTTTTATTTCAATTGAGTTTTTCAAAAATGGAACCATTTAAATGCCAGTTTTGTTTTTTGACAGAATGATTAGAGGGGAGGAAGAGGAGGGGAATGGAGCAACGGTGAAACTCAAAAACCATCAAACATGCTCAGAGGAGTCGACTCACACTGGTTATCATGGCTGACCTGTCGTATTGTTTTCCTTAATGGGACCAGAACCTTTTGTGCTTCCTGACTGTGGTCCCGTCCCGCTGATTCTTCTTTAGTTTTCTACTTCCTGTTTCCTCCCTGCTGACATCATCTCTCTCTTTAACTCACACGCACTCTAAACTAGAGTGTGAACAGAGGAGGGATGTGGATCCTTCCATTTCCATTCTCGAGTCGCCATGGTCGCCGTCACATTTACCCACAGTGCTTTTCTCTCTGTCTTCACCTTAATATTTTGGTGCTCTGGTTTGTTCCTGGGTTTCTTAAGGATTTCTGGGTTTCACTGTCATTTATTTATGAATTTATTTATTTTCACACTGAGACATTTGCCTCTGTGATAAAAACACCTGACCTGCTCTGACTCCTCTGACTGCTGACAGGTTCCTACAGATGCTGTGTGGTTTTCTAAACGTTAACGTCGCATGCATCTGCTCAAATACACAACCAACCACGCCAACTGACCAACCAGCTTTTAATCACATTTTCTTCTTTAATTACCCTTCCACAAAAATGAAATTGTTAAAGAGGAGGAGGGCAGGAGGGTTTGCTCAAACAGCTCTGTGTTTAATATTTACTTTTGTAACTTTGTGATACATCGTTTTAAATGTCTGAGCAAAGTTCTGTGTCCTCTTCCTCTCTGGGCGGGAAGACGGGGAATTAGGGGGGGAGAAAGTTCAAATTTGAGAGAGGAATAAGATAATAAAGCGTTTAGGAGGGCAGTGGAAGGGCTAAACAAAACTCTCCTAACAGGAGAAATAGAAGATGGGGAGGTGGTGTTTATAAGTCACTCTCTCCGTAGAGGGCGCTGGAGAAGGAGATGTAGTCCAGGGCGCCGGGGGCAGCGTCGGGTCCGACATATCTGGTCATGCGGCTGATGCAGTACTCTGCCTGATCAGGCGGTAGCTCTCTGCGCAGCTCGTCCACTGTGATGTAGCTCTGCAGCACACAGATGAAAGTTACAACTTACTCTCTGAAAGGTGCAAGAATGACATCTTGTGGTGAAATGTGGGTACTACAGTCCATGTATCAAAACAAACAAGTCTGCTCTGAGTGAATGTTGCCAGCTGCAGATCAATTCAATTCAATTCAATTCCAATTCAAAAAAACTTTAGTCATCCCTGAGGGGCAATTATTTCAGTACAGAAGAATTGGTACTGTGGTCATCAGCAGAAGTTTCTAGATGACGAGTCGTACAAACTAAGTTCAGAAGCAGATAAATAAATTTCTCTGTAATAGCGAGTTGTTGGTGATTGAAAAAGTAACTCGAGATCATATTTGTTTGTAATTCACCATTAGCACTGTTAGCTCAACGGTAGCCTCTAGCCTTTTTTTTACTCGATATTCAGAGTAAAACAGTAAACGTGGCTTCTTAGGGGTACAAGAAATAACTTCTGGGTCGCTCCGTTTACTGGCTAATATTATTTCAATGACACTGCTGCTCTTCTTTTGGCTGGTGTCTAATTACAAATGCTGTCGTAGACTTGGGCCCTGTGGGCTCAGATATGATAGCCCCTGGAACCAGAACGTATGGAGGCTCTTTGGCCTTGTTGAAAGGAGAAAAAATAAGAAAAACTGACAACCCCCCCAGTCGACTGACAAGGAAATCTGTTTTGATGTACCCTTCCTTCCACCATGACTGAAACATATTGTACCTTTAAGGTTATAACAAGCTCGGGCTAGGATGGCGGTGTATTTTGTTGTGAGATTCATGAAAAACTCAGTTTACCTTGTCTGAGGCCAGAATCTTGAAGGAAGCCATGACCTGCTCCGCGGTGTCGGTCTCGGCGGTCTCACGGGTCATGAAGTCAATGAAGGCTTGGAAGGTCACCACGCCGGTGTTGTTGGGGTCAACCAGGGTCATGATACGGGCAAACTCAACCTCACCCTGTCAACAAGTAGTAGATTCAAGCATGTGTTACTTTTTAAGTTGGGACTATTAAGAATCCACCTGTCCTGGGCGTACTGACCAGATCATAACCCATGGAGATCAGACAGGCACGGAAGTCATCTGGGTCCATCATGCCGTTTCTCTTCTGCAACAAACAAGAAGAGTCTGTCTGTATTTACTGCTGAATGACCAGATTCACCAGTTCAGACCCAGAGTATCCCTGAGAGGAACTTGTTTTCGGATTTGGATGCCTCACCCTGTCGAAGTGGTTGAAGGAGGCCCTGAACTCATTCAGCTGTTCCTGGCTGATGCCCTTGGCATCGCGGGTCAAGATCTGGTTCTCCACCTCGTTGATGGTTCTGGCGATGGTGGTGAGCAGCTGCTCCCAGCCCACGCGGACATGCTGCAGAGATAGAACCAAAGTGAGGAAAGCGTTCAAACACACGAAGCAGATGCAGGGCAACAGGTGCGCTCACCTCCATGGTGTAGTTGGTATGCTTGTTGTCGAAGATGAGGGACTCCTGGCTGAGCTGGTGGTCTCCCTCCAGCTTATCGATGTTGGACTTGTAGTTGATGATGTTCTGTTCGTACTGCTTCAGGCTGTTCATCTGTTCCTCCAAGGAGCCGGCGATGTCCACCGACACGTGGCTAATCTCCTGCATAGACAGAAAATGACAACTTTACTACTAGTTTCGCCTCCTGAGAGACCAGTGTAGTGTTGCAGTGCCACTGTACCTCCATCTTGGTTTGAATCCAGGGCCCGATGATGTTGGCCTGAGCAGCAAACTGGCGCCTCAGCCTCTCGTTGGCCTGCTGTCGGGCCACCTCCTCCTGAAGCATTTGGTCTCTGAGCGGCACGAGGTGCTTCACCTGCAGGAACCGTTAAAATCCAGTTAAAACAGCTGGTTCTGGTTCTGTGTGGGCGTAGACAGCAGCATTCTAGATCACTCTGAACAAATGCCACCATGTCTGACCCGTTCGGTTTGGTTCAGCTCTGACTCACAGTGTCCCACTTGGTGCCGATGTCCTGAGGACTCAGGTTGGTGTAGGGGTTGATTCCAGACAGCTTGATGCCGTAGGTCTGAGCGATCTTCAGGATCTCGTTGTGGATGCCGATGGTGGCCATGCGCTCCTTATCGGCCTCGGGCAGAGTGGCCTTGAACTGGTCGTGAGCTGTGATCAAACTCTAGACGAGGCGAAGAACACGGAGGAGCGATTGTGATGCTCAGAGTCACCATTCTCAAGAGTCTGTCTAAAATCGATTGAGTACCTGGATCTCCTCAATACTGTGGACAATGAACATGTCCTGCAGGTCCTCCATGGCTCCGTCCATCCAGTTATTGAAGGGCGCTGCCCTCTTGGCGAACTCCAGGTAAAGCTGGTCGATGGTCTCCCACAGCTTCTCCACACGCTGGAATCACATCAACATAAACACCATCAGGTCAAACAAACCGGTTTGGTTTTTGTGGAACGGCTGATTCTTTCTTTACCTCCAGGGAGTCTCTCCGCTTCTGGGTGAGGGTCCCCAGGTTGTCCCACTGGTCACAGATACCCTGACAGCGGGCATTGACTGTAGCAGCATCATGGTAATCCAGCTCACTGAAAGAGATGTCAAAAGCCTCCATCAGTCATGAACTAAACACTTTAAATGATTCAGTTCTTCTACTTCTTTCTAATCTCCATGTTGTCCCAGGACACCACATCTTGACACAACCTTTGCCCAGCCCGTCCTTCTGGAGTCTTACTTCAGCTCCTGGGCGATGGCGGCGATCTGCTCCACTCGGTCCTGGTGAGCAGCGAGGTCACTCTCAAAAGCTTCGTGCTTTCTCATCAAGGCTCTGATTTCCATCAGAGAAGCCGACTCGTAGTCCTTCTGGGACAGAAGCTCCTCCTTACCTAAACACACACACACAGACCTCTAACCTACAGGAAAACACTTGTTAAAAATCTGTTTCTATTGTTTGGTTGTTTTTAACCTCCGGTCCAGGATTCGTGCATGGCACATTTCTGCTTGAACTTCTCAGCCAGGTGGTCCAGTCTCTCCAGACGGCGGATCTCGGTCAGCAGCCACTCCTCGTAGCCCTTCTCCACCTGCTCCAGACCCTTCCAGGCATTGGCAATGTCCTGAATTATAAGAGACATTTCACTGTCGCTGGGTCCTTGTCTAGATCTGACCAGTGTTACACGATGGTGAGAAAGAAGAAAGGGCTGAAGTTTCTGTCCCGCTCACCGACACCATCTTGCCCTCAGAGGGCATGAAGGCGGGCCTGTTGCTGAGCCTCAGCTTGGTCTGCAGCGTGTTGAAGTTGATCTCTAGCTGACATTTCTCCTGCACGCGGGGCGGCTTGTGGACGCGGCGGTAGTCACGGAAGTCCTCCAGTTTCTGCTGCATGGCGCGCATGGTCTGCTCGGCCACGCGGTTCTCCAGCCAGGGGATGGTGCGGCGGATCCACTCCAGCAGCTGAAGAAACCACACAAATACTCCTGAGCATTCCTAATCTACGGCATGTGTGTGTTCAGTAAAATAATGCTTCTGTGTCAGTGTGTTAACTTGTTTTTGTTAAACTGTATTTAAAAACACTGACACCAAAACGACAGAATTCATGTTTCACTTGGCTGCTGACTCGCTGTCCTTACACAGCTTAATCCAGTTTTTATAATCCGTAACTCAAAATTAATAAATAAATAAATCAAGACAGACAAGAGGATTGGAACTAGAAAAGCAAAAGCTTTAAAAATGGACGTCACCTGTGGGATCAGGATGACTCTTCAAGATTAAAGTAGCTAACGCTGCTGAGAATGAAGAACATCTGCAGGTGTTGAATCTGTAATCTCAGCGTGTTTTAATCTGAGGGATTACCTCACTGGCCAGCTTCTCGTACTCCTCCATCAGCTTCTCGTTCTCCTGGTTGACCGCCAGCACTTTGCAGATACGGTTGGCGGCTGTCTCAGCCTGACACGTAGCAAAACAAAACAACAAAAAATAAATAAATCAAAACTTTTTTATTCAGATATTTTTCAGTTTATTATTATTTTCAAAATAAAAAAAATCAAAACTAATAAATCAAATGAAAGAGGTAAGATTGTTAAAACCACTATAAGGAATAAAAGCATCCTCTGACCTGCTCGGCTCCAGCGAAGGCATGATAAAAGCAGGACACGTAGGTCATGATGGCCTTCTCATCGGGTTTGGGTGTGTTCACAATATCTGAGGCAGAAAAATAAAAACACCTTCAAATAAACACTTCCTGGTGAGACTTGGGTTTTATTTGACTGTATTCCCGTGAATATCACCGTACACGTTAGCTAACTGATGAGTGAAAACAGCAATTCCGAGTTTTTCCCCTTTCAGGAATTATGTATTATTTTTAAAAGATCAATGAAAGTGATAGTCTTACCCTGTATTGTGATGTAGTGTAGCGAATACATCATTCTTTAAATGTGTCGTAGGTGTAGAGCTCCATTTTAACTAACCAGCATTCAGCGTTAGCCAGTAGCATTAGCCATCTCCTTACGTACAGAAGTCAATCACAGAGCACGTGTGTGCATTAGAGGACCTAGACCTATGCAGAACTGGCGACATTACCGGCAAGTCTTTTATATATATATATATATATATATATATATATATATATATATATATATATATATATATATATATATATATATATAACATGAGAATAATATTTGTAAAACAATGTATTTTAACTCTGTTGGCTGGCTAAAGGTGCACATTCACTAGAGGTGTTGCTTTCGGCCGTAAGTACAGATGTAATGAGAATGGCTCAAGGTGCGATGCTTTTGTCGTCCTTTAGATGGAGCTGTCGGTTAAAACAACTCTGGATTGCAGCTTTAAAGAGCAAGTCACCCCCAAATAAACTTTTTTGCTGATAAACTAAATAAACGAGTGTCTAATCATGCTGCAGACACGTGTAGTCAATAATTTGGCACTTCAGTGCATCTTAGTTAAAATTTAAATATTCTGCCTAAAACTGGCAGTGTTGTGCGGTTGTCAGGTAAAAACTCTGCACTGTATTTTAATTTAAATCTGCCACCGCTATTGGCTAAGAGGTATGCTATGAGGTAAACTGGTACATTATGATGTCACAATGCTGTTGTGAGCCTGTGTGTGTGTGTGTGTGTGTGTGTGTGTGTGTGTGTGTGTTTGTGTGTGTGTGTGTGTGTGTGTGTGTGTGTGTGTGTGTGTGTGTGTGTGTGTGTTTGTTAGCTGCTCCGCCTTCTCGGTCTGCCAGGCAACAGCATTTGTTGCATTTTTCAAACATGAAGTGAGAGTGGAGTTAGACTCTGGTAGGGGTTTACTTGCTCTTTAAGTATCTGGTAAAACAAGAAACTGTTAAGATAAAGACCCAATTCACTCATTTTTTCAATACATTTGCAGTGCTCTCTAGTATAAATGAATGCCTTGTGAGTCGTTCTCTGTGTGGTGCCCCTGCTTCAGGAACTAGTGAGCCATCAGAGGTGAACACAACACGGCAAGATTTGGAGTCCTATTTCCTAATATTTGGACATCTTATCTCTGATTGGCTAACAGCAACATGACTCTACCACTGACTCAGTTTGCTCTACATTGATGTTTTATCTCCACAAATAACACAAGCCTGAAGGAGTTCTGTCATGTGGTGGAGTTGCTAATGCTAACGGTTAGCTTCATCTAGCCAAGACGTGCTCTGCTGTTTACTGGATGCTAAACCAACAACAGCCTTCCCCGTCGTGAGTCATGATGGGTGACTCCATGAATGTTTAATGACAGTGTGATGTATATCTGTCAGTATTTTCTAATCCTAGAGTTTCACCGTCTATTTTCTATCTGAAGAAACTAATGCAGGAGATAGGTGTAGGAGACTACTTTCATGTTCAGCCTGCATGAAAAACTCAGAGTGATTGATCATATTTTTAAAAATAACAAGTCAAAATGGTTTCTCAGTGAACTTGGCCTTCTAATAACTGGAACGATAAGTAACTGATGACAGTTACTAGTTAGTTTGATCAGTTAAGTAACTGATGAGAGGAAACATTAGTTTTTAGTATTCCAGTGCTTTCATCATAGCTTCCTGATGTCAGAATCGGTGATTTGTTGCTTTGAACAGGATTTAAACTATTTGGGATTTAATTAGGAGGCAGATGGGAGCCGATCAAGGAAAACTCCCCCTGGCTGTCTTCCATCTGCCCACGTTATTTGGTCTGATGGATGCATTGTGAGTTTGTCTCAGCCTCACCCTCAGCATCAAGCATCTTGGGGATGTCCAGGAACTTCTCAGCCACTTCAAAGGCAGTGTTCAGATTACCAACTGGGTCGTCCTAGAGCGAGACACGGTTAGAGTCAAACATGTCAGTCTGACAGCAGCTACTGTAAATGCTAAAAACAGAGGACAGCCACCTTTCTCAGTTTGGAGTAGTCGATGAGGTCAGGTCTGTGTCTGTGGATGAGGGCACACAGGGCAAGGCCATCCTTCCAGCTGAGAGGCGAGAAGGGAGGAAAGGTGAGCAACACGTAGCACCAAAAGTCCCATTCAGAATGGTGTAAAGATGAAGACTTGTAGTTGCTTGATGTTGCCATGGCATGGCGCTGCAGACCAACCTGATGTGGAAGTTCTGAACATTGACATTCCTGTAGGGGGCAGTCTTCCTCTGGCACCAGAGCAGCAGACCCTCCTTGGCAGAAGTCTCTGAAGAGAAGAGGGATGAGGATGGAGAACATTTAAAGACACTAGTTTTAACACTTGAGGCAAAAACAAAATAAAGCTGATGATAACAGAAGAAACTGGTGTATGAGTCAAGTTAGGTTTAAGTTGATTTAAAGATAAAAGCCTTAAAAAGCTGACAGTTTAGGAAAATAAATATTTGAAAAGAAGAAAACAGTTTATAGAACTTCCAACCAAGGAGCAGAATTGTCCTAATGAAGAGTTCTACGTCACTTTCCATAAATACACACCTTCCACAGAGATGTCCTGGATAGCAAAACGCAGGATGATGGTCCAGATCATACCAAGAGTCATCTTCACATTACCGTCAACAATTTCTACACACACACACACACACACACACACACACACACACACACACACACACACACACACACACGCACACGCACACGCACACACACAAAACAGCAGAACAGAAATTAAATGATTTGCATCTCCTGTTGGTTTGCTGCTGGAATCGGGCTCTGATTGGCTTTACTGCTCTAACGCATCATCAACACACACTTATTAGCACTTCAGAGACACTACACATTCAGATCATTAAAATTAGCCAAAGTGTGGCCCGGGGGCCGTTTACGGCCGTCAGAGAGATTTTGTGCAGCCTCCACTCACAATTAAGCCACATACTTTGGATATTTGACCAATATGACTATTTTGGAACCATTATGATGAGTAAAATGTAATAAATAAATATTTCACATTAAAATAATTTTTACAAGTTTTAAATTAAAAACAGTAAAATAATTTACTAGCAAGGATATTTGACTCGATTTCCTTAAAAATTTTGTACACTGCGATTCAAAGGAACACTAAAGAGTTTTTACCACAGGTAACCCGTGATAAGCGGGGACCAGACCGGTCCTCCCATTTGCACCAGTGGGGTAGAAACGAAGCTAGCATATAAGGGCCCACGTGAGGCTCCTTTTTTGTGGCACCTGGTCCACCAGCATTCCCCCTCCCCGGGCCGGCCCTCGAACGAACCGGCCCATAGTAACCGGCCCCTTTTCAAAGTGGCCCACAGCCTCTTATATTTGAGTACCCCTGCTCCAAACTATTGCTTTCAACTGGTTTCAGTGGATCTTGAGCCAGAAAAACTTGAGCAAATTCACTCTTTAGTTCTCAGATGACCAGAAACATCACGTAAGAGTTTTGTTGTTCAGGTACACTAATGGGAGGTCTTCTGTATGGCAACAGAAGTTCATTATGCTTTTTCTTATATAAAGGCTAGCAGTTAGCTTTTTCAGTTTGCCAACCATCGATGCAGAAGAAGAAAAAGAAGAAGAGAAAAGTTTTTGGAGGCAAAGCAAAGAGTTAAAACCAGAGAGAACATCAGCTCAGCCTACACTAGTTTGCTAATCGAGGCTACAAAATCACAGACTGATGGTGACCTAGCTTTGTTGTTACTGGACTTGTAAGTAATAATATTTTTTGTCCAGTGGTGTGGATCTTTGTAGCTTGTTTTGTGTCAGTTGGCTTGTGTTAGCATCAGCTTGTTATTAGCGATGGCTTGTAGCAAGCTGTGGCAGGGTAGTTTACCACAGTTGTAATTCCGCTTTCAACTAGCTGTAGGGAGAAGTGGGGAAACGTATTTGTATTCCTGTAAATGTCTCTTATCCACTGGTGACCAGTTTATGTTGCAGCAGAGTTTTGACATGGATCTATTTGGTGATAAAATCAGCTCAGGACATTCCAGTTACTCTTGGAATTTTATAGCTGTTATAGCGAATCAACAAACAAACAAACTAGGTTTTGAACAAAAACATGGTCGCAACACTCGCTCCTCCTGTCAGATATCTTCACTGGTTTCCCATCCACCAGAACCAGAAACCCCCATCACCAGAGAAAATGAGAGAGCACTAAACAATAGGGATGGCCTCTTTAAAAATCCCTCCCACCCACTGCATTCCGCTGTAGAGACCATGGACAGCTTCTTCAGAGGCAGACTGAGACATCACATATGTAAAACAGAACACTACAATAGGTCATTCATCCCCTCTGCAGTAAGAGTGTATAACTCCTCAGTTTAACTGGTGCTGGCATTATCCTGGTACAAAATAACATCAACGCAATATTCAGTATGTGTTCAATACTTGTGCAACACTGGATTTACATAGTATGTCTGTGTCTCTTACAGTATGCTGCAAAGTTCTGAAACCCAAGTTTTTTCATTTTGTATTCGTGGTTTTTAGTGGTTGCAGGTTGCAATAATACATTGCTGCCTATGTGTGTATACGTGTACTTTGCTATTATTTTTCTGCCAGTTATCCTTTTAGGTGTTAAAACTGCAGTAACAAGTGTATTTCCCCATTGTGGGATCAATAAAATCTATTCTACTCTATTTTATTCTACTCTATTCATGTTTTCTTAGTCCAATCATCTTTTGTTGTGCGTGACTTCTAATGGTGTTTTTCTTTTTGGGACTCTGGTAGTTTGTCCTAAAGTTGAAGTGGTAGCAGCCAGCTGTTTCTTCTTCTCTGATATTATTGAGCGGAGAACCTCTCACACCAGTGGTGTTCTGCTGCTAAATACATAAGTTTGTAATGAGTGGAGGACCCAGGGAAGTGTGGCAGATCAGCAAGCTCGACAACTGGATAATCTGGTTGCTTTCGGTCCTAAAAGTGGTTCTCTCGCATTCGTCTAAAAACCACCATCCAATAACGTGTTTCTTTTTTTTGTTTTATCTCTACAATATATCTGTAGCTAAACTGTTTTAGAATGCTGTAAAGAGGCATGAAAAAATGTTTTAAGCTAACTTGTTTTCCAAATTTGCTATAGCAGCTTTAACCCGAAAGGAGCACATAGAAACAAACGGGGGACAGCAGGACCCTCACCCTCAGCACCAATAGACACCAGTTTGACCCCTTTGCTGCAGATGAAGTCCAGAGCTTTATTCACGTTGGCGATCTTATGGAAACGCATCTTTCCTTTGTCGGGTTTGGGCAGCCTCTCGCCTGAAAGAGACACGAGCAGCATCATGTAAAACCAGAAAGGTAACAGATGTGTATGAGAGAGAGAGTGTGTGTGATGACGTCTACCTGATATGACCTCCAGCAGCAGCATGAGTTTGAGGCCATTTCTGAAATCCTCTTCTATATTCTCAATCTGTGTCCCGGCTTTCCTCAAGTGGGAGTTACACCAAGCTGTGAAGGTCTGAGGAAGAGGAGGGCAGGGGTGTTACTCAGCCAACTCTACAACGTGTAATCTCTCAAACACACGCAGAAAAGCTTCAGTAAACTTGTAACGCAGGAGACTTACATGTAGGCACATCGCTTAATTAAACTGGTTTAAAACACAGACCCCTTTCATCGGAGTTTTTTCTTTCAAAGCTTAAAAATCACAGATTAGAAATTTAATTCCCTTTAGCCTGGATATTATTCTCCTTAATGAGCAAACTCATTTTAATATTTTATAGCATTTAGTGAAAGCATTTCCACCATCTTCAGCTTCTTGCTGGGAAATAAGATTAGTGCTACTTTAGTTTAAACTCCAGCAGACCGGAGAATGTGCATCATTGCTTCCTCCCTCTCGGGCAAAATCTGTTGGGCACGAGTCCATGACCTTGAGGACTTCCAAAACAAAAATCCTAAAGTCAGCAAGTCTTTTTCTGGTCTGAATGCAAACCTTCATCAGTGCATCAGTCTGCTCTCACTTTCTGATTTTCTCCTGTTGCAGGAAAAGCATCCCAGCATAAAAACACTAATATAGAAAGAAGAAAAAAAAGGTCATACTCTTTCTGCCTGTATGTTTGTCAGCAACGTAAATTTATTTAAATCAATCTCTGAAAGTCAGTGAATGTAAAACTACAGCCAGTTCTTTGGAAATGTCCTTAAATGCTATTTACTATAGTGATCAAATTCAGTATTTCTTTGTAAAACCCAATAAAACTGGTTCCATTAAACCCATCAGTCTGTCGCATTTTAGCTTTAGAACCAGGATGTTGAAACTCAAGAGGATGAGTGTGTGTCGGGGCTTCTGCTGCAGAGCTGAAATGATTCCCTGGTCTGGAGAATGTGGGGGTGTAGAAGCAGAATCAGGGCATGATCTGAATAACTAACCAGAGATGATGGTGTGGGTGGAGGGGGGCACACGATATCTATTAATTAGCAGTAAAATGTAAGCAGAAATGTTCCACTTCAGCAGAAAACGTTAAATAAAGTAGAAAGTTTCGTGTATACGTCCTTACGCTGTGTGTGGGTGTTTGATGAGAGCTTGTTTTCTTTCCTTGCTTTCATCTGGAGACACAAACTGTGACAGACAAGAGCCAGATGAAACCGGTTTACTCATTCCCATTTTTGTGATATTCTGCTTTGAGACTTTCATTTTTTCCATTTATCTGACATTGTGAGGATCATTTTTAAAACTCGTGTTTCCTTGATGTTGAGCTGTATCCAAGTAAAAGTTTGAAAATCTGCACACTTGAAACAGGGAGAAGAAAAGTGAAGATTTAAAGGGAGTGGATTATGCAAATGTGACTTTTTGCATCTTTTTGTGTTGCCATGTGGGCCTCTGTTAAGTGCGGTGCCCCTTTTCGGCCACAAGATGGCATCAGTGGCTTCTGCCTCGTCTGTCTCCCGGTGCTCAGCTGTGTGCAATTTGGCAATCATCTGAACAGCTGTTAAAAGCTGCTCTCTTGCTCTCAGACAGCGAGAAGGTACAGGGAAGTTTGGGCACGGAAGTGTTCTTACTTCTCTCTTCTCTTCGTATGCTTGCGCGTGTGTTAGTACTTCGGTGACTTTGTGATTTAGACTCTTGTTAATTAGGATTTCTGGTACTTTGATCGTGGACTGGCCTTCGACTCCCCCTTTTCGGATTTCCCCTGAGCGTCTCTGCTTAACAGGACGTTTCTTGTTTAGTATTTGTATATATATTGAGTTTAGTGTTTAATGTTTTTGTTAATCATGAGTATTTTAGTTTTCCTCCTCCCAGCCCTTTTGGCTTGGGGCTTTTTGTTAACCCTTTTCCCTTTTTAGGCTCCTTTTGTTAATAAAAATCCTTTGTTGGCGACACAATTACTCTGTTATTATTTCACCTACACACACCATCTTTTACTCCCTCCTACACATCACTCCTAGCGAGCTGAGGGACGGAACAGCCTCTGTAAACTAGGGATGGATAAGATATCATCTATGTTAACAGCTTGTGTTCCTAAAAGTGACAGAGCTCAGAATCGACTCATTCTGGAAAGTAGAAGAAAGTCTTTTATGTAGAGCCTCTCAAAATGAAAGTCTTGAGGCACTTCACAAGAATTAAAATTTAAGAAAAAAAAAATAAAAATTAAAGAATGATTGAAAAAAAAAAACTAAAATTGAGAAAAGTTAAAACTGTGATGAAAAAAATGTGAGGAAAGGGTAAGAGAAAATGAATAGGAGGTAATCAGTAGATCCCAGAAAAGGCAGAGATGGTAGAAAGAGCTGAATGAGGAGAGGGTAGTGATCTACTGAAAATGTCAAAAATTAAGCTGAAATTGATTATGTGAGAGATTTTACGCAAAAAAAAGTTCACATTTAACATAACAGAAAATAGTTATAGTATGTCCCCAATAATGTTTGAGGTATAAACCTAGAACCATTTTGGACAAGCTGCACTTTCCTCTGATAGTGTTCCATTTCTGGCAAGAACTACATCCTTTTGAGTTCAGCTCACCTCTAATCAAGTAAAATTACTTTCCCTACAGGAACTCAGACATTTCTGTTATAAATGTTTAAATCTAGGCCGTTTCTCAAATGGCGCACTCAAGTATGTTTATTTACTGTTTCTGCTGCTTCGTACCGCCAGCATCTCTTGGGGATTACAGAGCTCTCTGACCGTGTCGTGTGAATATATGTAGAGCGGGTCTGTCTTCTTGCTCCAGTGCTGTCACTTCTGCCACATCACTTGTCTCCCTCTCCCCGCAGCCATGCGCACCGCCACCGTTATAAATGACTTCCAGCTTTCAATCCATCGAGAGAGAGAACCGGCACCAACCCCGCACAAAATTTGGAGCGAAGTGGACTTTCATGCAAAAGTGCAAAAGCAAATCAGAGCATTAAATATTGTATGTCCCTAAAAACCTAAGGTATTTCAAGATGGCGCAGGACTAGGGAGCGTCAACTAGTTTATGTATATAAAAATGTGAAATATGAAGCTAATAGGAATATTTAGAAAATACTTTGATGAGAAACATGAATGAAAAAGGACAAGTTTGGGAAAGATTGGAATTTGATTGTAAACAAGTACAAATATTACACACTGTGCCTTTAACAGTGAGAGATGCTGGTATTTTATCAATATTGATAAACAAAGTGGACCAAATTTTATACAAACACAATGTATCACTTGTTATTTTGTTATTTAAGGGGCAAATTAAACATTTTTTTTTCAGGTAATTTTTTTAACCATAGCAACAAGCACTGCTAGGATGTAACATTGTACGGGTCTGTTCCAAATCCCCTCCTCATACATACTCGGTAGAAACAAGGGCCATTATGGTCTACATTTTTTAAGCCAAGAAGGAGTGATTAAAAGGATTCAAATAAAGACAACTTCATTGCCTTCATTTGAATCCTTTTGCATCATCATGATCTGGATGACAGAACCTTCACCAGCACCAAGGATGCTGTGTCATTTAACTGTTTGGTCAAACATGTTAGTTGGGCTGCTGACTGGATAAGATGCCTGTCTTCTGTCTCCTGCGTGAGACGAGTTGCTAGAGCAGGCGGCTGGCTGTTCCCGTTTCCCGGGGGAGCCGACGCACAGACCGGTGGCTCCGATGAGAAGCTGTAGTCATGCTGGTCATTTGTGGATTTCTGAGCAGCTGCTTGTGTTGGCAATGGCGGACTTGCAAATTTTTGACCGCAATATCCTTGGTCAGCTTATCTAGTTAAGATTTTGTTATTAAGCAGGCTGAACGCTCCTTCATGTTGAAGTCGTTCTACCGCATTTTTCTTGCTAAAACGCATGGAAAAACTCTGTTAGCATTGGGTTAGCATGTAGCTAATGTCCCGCTGATCTCTGACCGTGGAGAATGTGCTGATCTGAAAGGCCAGGGCTCCCAGTCGCAACGGTCTGGCTCTGCTTGTAATTTAACCGTCCCAGTCCATATTAGATCTCCACAGGCAGCCAGCATGTCTACAGCCTCGTACTGAAGCTGGACGGCCTTAGTTTGTCTTCTTCACTATTTCTGCCATGACACGACCCTTAATTAAAACCTTTTATTGAGTGAACTGCTGAAATCATGTATGATCATGAAATTCTCCAGTGATTTTGTGATCTCTCGAGATGCTTTTGCTACCGTTTTGCGTCTCAAATGCTCTTGATGGAAAGGGACGTGCCACGGAGCTAGCAGGTGAAAAGCATCTATTACGATACGCACCACTTACATATCCAGTGGAAAGGCCTGGTAAATGGTAAATGACCTGTATTTGACATAGCTTCTTCTAGAGTCCTGGAACCCCCCAAGGCGCTTTACAACACAATCAGTCATTCACCCATTCACACACACATTCACACACTGATGGTGATGAGCTACAATGTAGCCACAGCTGCCCTGGGGCGCACTGACAGAGGCAAGGCTGCCGAGCACGGGCGCCACCGGTCCCTCCGACCACCACCAGCAGGCAACGTTGGTTAAGTGTCTTGCCCAAGGAGGACACAACGACAGACTGAGCGGGGCTCGAACCTGCAACCTTCCGATTACGGGGCGAGCACTTAAATCCTGTGCCACCGCCGCCCAGGTAGTAACCAACTACTTAATGCTACAATGGCAAGTCTGCAAAACATGTTAGCACTTTTGCCATTCCTTGATGTTGTAACATAGTTGAGCTATAAATATATTGTGGAGATAAAAAAAATCATACACAAAAAAAACCTTGATAAAAAAATAATGAAGTGGTTTTCTCACATTTGAAAATACCATTTGAAGTCATGGACAAAAGATGTTTAGACCTAGAATTCAGAAACTGGTGTTTAGCTCTCTCTCATTTACTGTGGCAACGTGGGTATTGGGGGTGTGGCCTAGGGATGATAACTGACGGGAGGGGTGAGAGTTTTGTGACCGTGTTTGTTTTTGAAAGCTAGCTTGTTTTGGCAGATTTGCCATTGAAACTTTAAGTAGAACAACTTTAGAACAATTAGTGTGTTATTTGATGAACTTTATAGAGCTCCAATAAATC